GGCCGCTGACCACGGTGCGGGGCTCAGCCTCGCCCACGTCGATCTTCTCCACGTACAGGCTGTCAGCATCTGGGTGCTGCCAGGGGGAGCAGGGGTGGGAATGGGGTGGCTGGAAAGGTGCCAGTCCCACCAGGCACACCCCAAATGTCACCACAAGGCAGGGTTCCTCCCCTCTCCTCTCCCCGTACCTTTTCCACACTGATCACTTTGCCCACACGGATGTCCAGCCGGGATGGGATCACGTCCTCTGGCTCTGAGTTCTTGGTGCTCTTCTCTCCAGGCTCTGCAGGGTGAAGGGAATGGTCACAACACTCAGCACAAACCCAGGCAGGTGCTCAGCCCCAAATGCAGGCCCTAGGGGTAATTGCCTGCAGGGAATTCCATCCTTGTCCCTATACCAGAGAGCAGAGTCCCTCCTGTGCTGGCTTTCCTCACCTTTCCCAGAGTTCTCCATGGGTGCTTTTGAGTCTGGAGCTTCAAAACTTTTCTCTGACCTCAGCTCCTGGAGGGAGCTGTCCCACTCAGCCCTGCATGGCCAGAGCCCCATTTCCCTGAGCTCCCAAGGCCCCCCTTCCCCAGGCTCCCAGCCCCTCCTTACTGGCTTTGGATGGTGTGGGATATGCAGCACTGCTCAGCTTCTTCAGCTCTGGGCAGTTGAATTTCTCTCTGATGGGGTCAAGCAGTTTGTTCAGGGCCACTTCCACAGAGTTCTTCAGGTCCCCAGGGTGCACAACCTGTGTCAGGACAAAGATGTTCCTGTCTGAGGCCACGGAGACCAAACAGGGTGGGAAGATGAATCCCAAACCCTTGACCTGATTCCCCTTGGTCATCAGAAGTTTCTGGACACTTCTACCTCCAGCCTCTGCTGGGAACAGCTGGGAAGGGTTGAAGTGCTGCTCTGCTCTGATGTGCTGCTGTCCTGACCTCACACCCTTCACTCACCCTCTTCCCCAGGCTCTCCTGCCTGGGAGCATCCCACACTACCAGCCACGCTCCACACCTCCTCCCAGTGCAGATTTCCATCTCCCAAATTGCTCCCAGGAACCTCAGGCAGAAGGTTCAGCCCCTCCCAGCACTGACCTGCTCAGCAAAATCCTTCTCCAGGGCCTCGTAGGCCGTGTAGGTTTTGTTTCCTCCCCATTTTTCCTCTCGCAGGACCACAAACTCTGGGACAAAACAGGTTTTAAAGCTCAGATTAACTCAAGGCTCAGCTAAACCACTCACCCCACCCTGCCCAAGAGCAGGGGCTGGGCAGGTGGCACTCAGGGGACACACTCCTGTCCCCTCCTCTTATTCACACCCCAGTGTGGGGACCCCCTCACCTGACTTGAGGGGGAAGAGGACATGCTTGATGAAGGAGAGGACACCATTGTTCTCCACATTCCCTGGCTCACAGAAAGCCTTCTTCAGCTTCTTTTTCACGTCCTCCTTGCGGTCCAGAAGATCAATCTTGGAGTCCTGCAGCAAGAGATTTCCTCAGCCCTCCACCCAAGCTTTTACCCAGGAAATTCATGCTGGAGTTGCTGCACCTTCTTAGAACCCATGTGAATGGGGAGGAAGATCTCACCTTCCCTGGGATGGTTCCCTCTCAGCCCCCAGCCACCAAGCTGTCCCCCAGAGCCCCCTGAGCACAGCCAGACCCAGGACCAACCTCTTCTGATGAGCTCATTTTGCTGCCTGTCAGCCCAGGAACCATGGGGTTCATCAAATGGACGCGCTTGGCATAGCCCAGGGAAGGGAGGTACTGGGAAAACACGAGGAGGCGAGTCAGACACAAGCCTGATTCAGCTTTAATTCCCAACCCCTGTTTGCTCCTGGCTCCAGGTAACTTTGGGATGTGGGGTAACAGCACCCAGGAAGGGCAGGGTCCCAGCCAGGGATGTGTGGCTGCACAGAGCACAGGAGCAGCACAGAGAGCTGTGACATCAACCAAAATCCCACACACTTCTCCCAGTGGATTTGGGAGTGGCCAAGGCCTCCCTCAGGCCCCAGTCTGGCAGAAATCCCCCCATTCCTGACCTTCTCTGCAAAGGTGAAGATCTTCCTCTGATCCACCCCTCCAAACTGCGCATCCACCTTGAGATATTCCTCATCCAACGCCTGTGGAGAGACACAGAGCCTCGAGGCTGGACCCAGAACAGTCCTGGCCTGCCCCTCAGCCTCTCCTGGGCCACTCCCAGCCAGGGAAAGTCAGGAACATTCCAGACTGTTTGCTCTGTGCTCAGGCCAGCCTTTGTGCCACCGCCAGCTGTGACATTGGGGTGGACAACAAGGACCTTGGCACTCAGCCCCAAACACCCCCGTGGCCCTGGATGTGCCAGCACCTCCCTGGCCACCAGCCCTGCCTCACCTGCAGGCCTGGGTAGAGCAAACCACTCAGCAAGGGATGCTCCACCTGCTTCACCACCTCTGCCCCTGCCTTCTTGGCGTCGTGCTGCGTCACCACGGAGGAGAGGCGGTACACGTCCAGGGTGTACTCCCTGTGGGGACAGCACTGTCACCAGGGGCATGGGGACAGCCCTGAGAGCTGCTCTGGGGCACAGCAGGCATGGGGACAGCCCTGAGAGCTGCTCCTGGCCATGCCACTGTCACCACTGGGCACAGGGACAGCTCTGACAGCTGCTCCTGGCCACGCCATTGTCACCACAGGCAGAGTGGGGAGACAAAACAATTCCTACTCCAGCTGGGGACCAAGGACAAATGATCCAAATCTCAGGCCCAAGAGCAGAAATAACGTGGGCTGAAGAAGGATTTGGCTTCATGGGTTGGAGCTGTAATTGGACAATTAACTCCAATATGCAAATGGAGCAGAACTTATAAAAGCGAGAGGTTTTGTGACCAAGTGTCCATTTTGTGACCATTTTGGTTCATCTTGGGTGGGCTCTTGTGCTGCCCAAGGTGGATCCATTGAGGCCTTTTAATAAATCCCTACTTTTAGGGATAATACCATATTATATATAATAGAATTAGATACTTGTATATTTATATATTACATCTATCTATCTATCTGTAACATATATACATATTTTACATATATCTATATTTACAGATATAAAATATTAGATAATTCTAATAAATTCATACTTCTAACAATAATACCGGATAATACTACTATATTAGACACACATATATATATATATATAAAATATATATATTAGATACTTCTAATAAATCCCTGCTTTTAGGGATAATACTGGATTAGATATAATAGTATTAGATACATATATATATATAAAAAATATATAGTTAATTAATAATAATAAATAATATATAATGATTTTATATATGTATATATATGTATATATACACACACACACAATATTAGATATTTTTAATAAATGCCTACTTTTAGGGATAATATTGGATTATATATATTAGATAAATATATATAAAATATTAAACATTCCTAATAAATCCCTACTTTATTCTTTAACTCCCCCCAGCCTCAGTCCTAGCTCAGCCTCCCAGGGCACCCCTGGCTGCCCAGGACTCACTTGCTGAGCTGGTAATCGGTGCCCCGGACGAATCTGAGCTTCTCCAGGGGCACCCCGATGCTCTCCAGCATGGCTTTGATGACCTGCTCGTAGTACCGGGTCCGCAGCTCCAGCAGCTCCCATGGAGCCTTCATGTTGTCCAGGTAGGCGTGGAGGTCAGCAAAGAGGATTGTCACCTAGGACAGGGGACAGCGGGGGTCAGGGGAGCTGTCCCTGCTGGCTGCAGGTGCCACCCAGCCGGGTGGCAGTGCCCCACCTCGCAGCCAGCCTTCAGGAAATCGGCGATCTTGGACATGGGCACGAAATAGGCCACGTGTGGCTTGCCCGTGGTGGCCGTGCCCCAGTAGATCTTCAGCTCCCGCTCCTTCAAGATGGACATGAGCTTCTCCTCGCCCAGCACCTCCTGCCAGGGGACAGAACACGCAGAGCTGCAGGGACAAATCCCGCTGGGACAAATCCCGCACGCCGTGTCCCGCGGCCTGCCCTGCCTCAGGTCCCCCCATCCCGGCCTCCCCACGCCCCGATCCTGCTCCGTTCCCCCTCTCCGACCCCAATCCTGCCGTACTCCTCCCGGTACCCCCATCCTACCCCAATCCCCCCCGCTGCAGCCTTAACCAACCCAGCCAGCCCGGATTCCTCCGCCCGACCCGGATCCCGCTCGTCCCTCGGATCCAGCCCCAATTCCTCCGCCGGACCCCGGCCCAGCCCCGCTCGTCCCTCAGATCAGCCCCGATTCCTCCGCCCGACCCCGGCCCAGCCCCGCTCGTCCCCCCGGCCCAGCCCCGATGCCGCCGCCCCGGCCCCATCCGCCTCCCGGTACCTGCAGGTTCCGCGTGATGAGCTGATATTTCTCCTGCGGGCCGGGCGCGGGCTCCATGGCGGCGGCTGCAGGGCAGGACACGCAGTTACCGGAGCCCCGGTTCCCCCTAGTATCCCCCGGTTCTCCCCGTTCCCCTCCCCGGTTCCCCACCCGGTCCCACCGACCTGCCCCGGGTTGCATCAGCCCCACTCGGCGCTCGACTGCCGCGCCTAAAGCCTACCGAGCGCCGAGCTGCCGATGCAAAGAGCAGGATAGGGGGGGCACGCTCCTCCAATCAGAAAGCGCCTCGCGCGGCGAGGAACCCGCGTTCCGCCAATCAGAGGGCGCCTCGCGCTCCTGTGGGCGTGACCTTGGCGCCGTTAAGATGGCGGCGGGTGAGCGCCTTTCCCGCCAGGCCCGGCCAGGCCGCGGCCACTGCTTTGGCTCAGCGCAATTTAATTCTCCCTCTTTTATTTTGGGCGGTTTTACCCGTTTTTTTCCGGGGCTCGGGGAGCTCCCTATGTTGGGGTGGGCCGGGAGGAGGAGCCAGGGGCGGGGCGGGCTAGGCCCCGCCTTGGGGCGGTGCCGTTGAGGCGCCGGTTGCGCTGTGCCCGCTGAGGGACGGGCGGGTCCCTGACGGAGAGAGGCGGGGGCGGTGTTGCCGTCAAACCCTCGGTGAGGGGAGAGCGACGCGGTGCCGCCTCCTGAGGTTTTAGACTGCATAGGGAAAGGCTCCAGGGTGAGCCAAGTGCGGGTTTTTGGTGGCTCAAGGGGCTCTAAGCTGGATGTAGGACAAGGGCCTGAGGGACAGCACACAGGGAAGGCTCCCACTGCCAGGGGAGAGGGGATATTGGGGAAAATTCCTCTCTGTGAGGGCAGTGAGGTTCCAGATTGCTCAGAGAAGCTGATGCCTTGTGAAGACCTAAAACAGAGGCTAGACAGAATTAAAGAATAAAGTAGGGATTTATTAAAAGGCCTCAATGGATCCACCTCGAGCAGCACAAGAGCCCAGTCAGGGCTACACCCAAATCACGGATTTTGTGAGAGTGTCTCAATGACTAATTCCCTGACAGAGTTCCTCTTCCTTTACTCAGTTTTCCCAAGTCAAAAATAGTTTTGTTTTTTTTTTTTTAATGTGTTTATTTGTATCTCTGAAGGGCGGAGGTGGGGGTTGAGACACTTGGAGGTTTTATTTAATGCTTCAGGCATGTTCTGCAGTTTAAAGCTGCGATTTGGGATTCCTGGGCTCTGCTGTGAGGGACTGGCAGCACTTTGGGAGGAGAGGGCACAGCCTGAAGGGGTTTCCAATCATTGGGGTTTCCTGCTCGAGGGAACACTTGGGGATGAAGGATTGTTTGGGACCTAAAACAGTCAAGAACAGAGATCAAATTGTGGTGGTTTTTCCTTCCCTGTTAAATCCCAGCATTTTAGGGATACAGCTGAGCTCCTTTCACTGAGGACGTTGCTTTTGCTGGCAGGTTGGAGCTGACTCCTGCTGATCCCTCCTCTGGAAGGGCTGATCAAAGGCCAGCAGCAGCAGCAGCAGCAGATGAGCCTGTAGAGCTGGAAGCAGAGCTGCAGGAAGGCACAGAGCCATGGCAGAGAGCTGCCCTCCCTCCCCTGGCCTCCATCCGGGCTTCAGGCAGGATCCAGTCCCCAGGGCCAAGCGGCTCTCGGATTCCACGGTGCAGGTGCAGGCCCTGCAGTCAGCCAAGAAAGCCTGTGTGCTGAGCTGTGGCTGCAGCACCCCAAAGCCAGCAGGGAATCCCCTGCTCCCTTCCCCAGGCTCTGGCTGCTCCCTTTTCCTGGATGAGAGTGGGCAGGATGAGCTTGGGGCCAGTTTTTCCGTGGCCAAGTACGACGACGTGGCCATTTCCCTGGACATCAGCAGGTGCTTCGACGACAGCGAGCTGGATGATTCCCTGCTGGAGCTGTCAGGCAGTGAGAAAGGCAACTCTCCCTTTGATTACACCGAGGAAGAGATCCAGGAAATCTTGGCAGATGATTCCATGGAAGCTGAGCAGCAGCAGAACCTCCCTGGTGAAAGCCACCCAAGCCAAAGTGAGAGTGGGAAGAGTGACCAGGGGACATCGCTCAGCGAGGTCACCCAGGAGGCAGAGGAGCCCCAGGAGCATCCCTCAGGCAGCTCTGGGTGTGATCCTGGCTTTTTGAGTGGCACTGCTGCTCTGGATGGGGCCCAGAGGCTGCAGCAGGAGCTGGACCTTGACCTGCAGGAGCTGCTGAGCCTGAGCCCGTTCACTGCTGCCTGTGCTGGTGAAACTCTGGAGGAAAACAACCTGGAAAGAGAAACTTTGGATGCCATGATAGATGATTGCTTGGGATATTCCACAGCTGCTGGGAGCTGCATTCCTGAGAAATCCTCGGAAAGGGTGATGCCTAAAGATCAGGAAAGCCTGGCTCAGGATTGCCTGGGAAAATCCCTGCCCTCATCCAGCCTTCCCTGTGGCCAGAGCACAGGGGATGAGAGTCCAGCATCTGTGTTGCCACCCAAAAAAGAACTTCCCAAAGCAACACTGAGCTGTTTGTCAAGGAAATCAGACTCTCCAGAGGATGCTGAAGGGGAACCCAGAGGAGCTGAGCAGCCAGCAGGCAGCACTAAAGTAAACTCACATCTTCATTCTTGGAACTTGAATGTTTTTAATCCCATCCCTTTGGATTGGTCCATGTGCACACAAGTGCTGTGTTGATACAGGGGAGGTTTTTCAAGTGGATTTTTATGTAACTCTAAAAGCAAAATGTACATGGAGAAGTTTTCTTACATGTTAATCCCCTTTTTCCTTCCCTTTCCAGTTAAGGGACACAGCTGTAGGCCAGAGTGGGCAGGAAGAGCCACCCCGTGGGAAGAAAAGTGGCAAAGTAATTCCTGTCCCACAGGAGGAGGAAGAAAGGTAATTTCTCAGCAAATCTGCACTTTAAAACCCATCCCAGCTGTTTCCTCCACCGCTGGGTTTATTTCCATTTTTAAATTAAATCGCACTGAAATAGTGGGAAAACAAGAAATATTTCACCCTGTAAGATACCGGAAGAGGGGAAAGAATATCGGGAAGTGGCAAAGGAGGTGGGTGAGGCGATTTTGGGCCGCGGTTTGCAGGCAGGAGAGGAGGGGACGTTTGTGCCTCCCTGGCTGCTCCTCCCGGAGCCGTTCCCTGCAGGTGGCAGCAGCAGAGCGGGTCGGGACGCTGCTCCTGCTCTTCCCCGCTCCTGGAGGCGGCACATCGGGGCTTTCCCCCTCATTCTGGGCCATTTCCATTCCTATTGCGTGGAAAAAAAAGCTTTTTCCTGCTTTTGAGAGCTCCCTGCGCGTTGCCGTTGTGGTCAGCAGGGCAGTGACCGCCTGGGTGGCTCAGCTGCTCTGCTCTCGGCGTGGTTGATCTTTGGCAGCTTTACTCAAATAAATACTTTCATTTTTTTTCTCCATCCCAAAACAGTGCTACAAGAATGTCACATCTGCCATAATTCTGCAGGGCTCTCTGTGAACTGTAACCTGATTTAACAAATAACCTAAAAATAAAAATAAAAAAAAAAAATTAACACAATTTATTATTTTCAAGGCTAAAACAACGGAGCTGCATTTCAGAAGCACAGCCTGAGCAAAAGAGACGTTTCTCTGCAGGCTGTGCCAATCCAAGTGAGGAAAAGTGTGGCTATTACCTCAGGTAACCCCCAGGTGGGAGGGGATGAGGCTGGTGGGGAGGGCAAAATTCAGCTCCTGGCTGCACTTGAGTTCTTTATTTGGAGTGTGTTTGTTTTCAGAGGGGAATAAAAAGTGCCTGTGACAATTTGTGCACTGCCACACACAAAATTCCTGCACAGGAATCAGCCTGGCTCCAGGGCTGGCTCAGAGGAGTTTTACAGATATCTGGGAAATGTTGTGAAGGGGGTTTGGTGTGGAAAATCAGAAAATCAGGAAAATACCAAAGCAGGTTTGTATTCCATGGGAAAAGCAGAGCTGAGTTCTGCCTTGTTCTGTTGGGGATTAACTTGGCCTTGTCAGTTCACAACTATCCCAGAATCATCAACATTGGAAAGCACCTCCAAGAACACCAAGTTCCCACCTTCTCACCAGCCCAGAGCTCTGGGTGCCACCTCCAGGACTGCAGCACCTCCCTGAAACCTCACACTGGGGCAATATTGAGCTCAAATGCTGAGAGTTGGACTCAGACTGGGGGAACTGAGCTCAAGTGCTGAGATTTTTGAGTTTATTTTTGACACCTTCTCTGTGTTTGGCTCAGTGGTGTCATCCAAGAGGCACCGACTGTGGGGGTGTGGAAAGGAAGGTGGTTGGATTTCAAAGAGGTTTGGATTTCAGCTCCTGGGGGGCGGGGGTGGTGCCAGATCTTTTCTGAGAGTCTTGATAAGTTTGGATTTTTAAAAACAATGACTCCCCCCCTGGTAAGCTCTCCCCAGTTTCTCAGTATTAATCCCAGGGGACAACTTTTGGGGTATTATTATTAAAACACTCACAGGAGAATGTACACCTCAGGTTTTAACAGTTATGAGTAGAAATTAAATAAAACCAGGGAGAGAGGGAGAGGAAGAAGAGACGAAATTTAAATCCCTGACCCTTCAAAGTTGCAGCATCAGGAGTTAACCCTTGCACCACCCTGCTGGTGTTTCACCAGCAGCACTGCAATCCAACCTCAGCTCTCAGAGAGTGTTTCCCTGACTGCCAGCAGGGGAGATGGGGGGCACTGCACCCTGCCTGGATTGGAGTACAAAACACCCCTCACACCTACCTTAGGTGCTGAACAGAATGTCCCTTCAGCCACCCACGTGTCTCTGGCAGCTCCGGGGGTTCTTGGGACACCTTCCAGACTGCAGAGCTGGGTGTTCCTCTGGCTCTGCCCCAGGAGGGTTTCCAGGTGTTTTCTGTCCCTTTTGATGCCTTGTGAAGGCTGACCCAGAACAGAGGCGAGGCTGAGTTTAAGAATAAATTAGGGATTTATTAAAGGCCTCAATGGCACTTTGGGCAGCACAAGGGTCCAGCCAGGGCTGCACCCAAGATGAACCAAAATGGTCACAAAATGCACACCTGGTCATGGGTTCTCTCACTTTGATAATTTCTGTGCTATTTGTATATTGGAATTAATTGTCCAATTCCAGCTTTAGCCCATGCAGTCCCAGCCTTGTTTTTCTCTCTCCAGTCCATGTTGTTTGTGCTCTTAAACCTGAGATTTGGATCATTTGTCCTTGGTCTCCAGCTAGAGAATGAATTGTTTTGTCTCCCTGCTCTGTGCAGAGAGCTCAGCATCCCCTAACATGAATCTCAGAACTACACACTAAAACAGCACAGAACCTGAAAAATAGAAATGCTAAAACCTGATGCATCAGACTGGGATATTCTGAGAGCCAAAATATTCTGGTAGCTTCCAGCCACGGCTCCCTGTGGTTATTTAGAGTGTTCATGGGTGCAATAATTGCCATTTCTTGTGAGGCACAAGGAGCTGACAGTTGTGTGTGTGGAGCCTGCACTTAGGCAGGCAGCAGGAGCAGCTGCATCGCCACAGGGCTGCTTCCAGAGGATGAATCCAGCATAAGTAATGCAGAGGGGACAGGCAGGGAGAGCTAAAATGGCCTGTTTTCTCTTGCTTTCCAATTAAAAATGCAAGACGTATGTTGTGAGTCACAAAAAATCAGGCAAGGAGCTCTAAAGGAGCCGGGCTGACAAGTGAAACCCAGCTCTCTTTTGCTGGGCAAGAACATTGTCTGTGATGCACACAATTTGATTTTCTTATTAGTGCAAACCTTCCTTATTGCAAATAGCTGTAGGCTTGGAGCTCAGCCCAGCAGGCAGCGTGGGCTGGGCCAGGTTTGTCCCAGGTGCAGAAAGCTCCAGGGTGGGCTGGCAGTGCCCTGGGAGCTGTGCCCTGCCATGTCCTGTCTGTGCCAGCTGCATGGGAAATGCTGAGTGATCCCAAGGAATTCAGGAAGGAAGGAAAAATCAGCAGGTTTAGAGCCAGCAAGGGAATTCCTTCTGGGATGCTGTAACTAATATATTGCTGCTACAAATCTTCAGCTCTGTTTTGAGTTGCAAATCTCCTGGCATTTGTCTCAGGGTAATGTTTGCTTTGCTATCCCATCTTTTACGTAATCTGTCTGTTCTTCCTTGGATCCTGGCTCTTGCTGCTGTGCTGTCTGAGGGAATTCCGAGCTGGCTACAGGAGAGATTTTGTCTTTTCCCTTATCTGCACTTGCACTTGCAGGAAATAGAATTTTCATTTATAAAAATACAACTCCCATCTCTATCAAATCCATTTTTTTATATATATATCTTTTATATCTGCATATATCTCATATGTATTCTCATATTGGGTGATTGAGAGCTAAAAGTCACACTGACTAGTTGGAAAAAAATCCTTTTCTATTCAGAATAAACTTCTCCCATTGAGCCATCTCCAGTGTGTTGGGAGAGACCCCCGTGGCTCGACTTGTGCTTCCTCTCATTCTGCTTTCTAGATGCTGTTAAATCCTAATATATTCATTTATCTGCAGCTTCCCCTAAGAATTGAAATGCTGCTGAGGCTGTGCTGGAGCAGATGTAAAAATGAGCTGTGATTTGAGCATCTGCTTGGCAATGGGGGGCTGATAATTGACCACACAAGATTTCTGCCAGCTGACCATTTGTCAGTGTTTGCACTTTGTTATTGCCCTTTATCCAGCAGCAAATGGAATTATTTCCTTCCTGATGAGATCCTCCTTGGCAATCCTGGGGCTGGATCAGCTGCACAAATAATGAGGCTCCTAAAACTCTGTTATTTGGAGCAGAATCACAGAATGGCTTGGGTTGGAAGGGACCTTAGAGTGATCCTGTTCCACCCCTTGCCATGGGCAGGGAACTTTCCACTGCTCCAGGCACCTCTGGGAAGCTCAGCTGGCTCCTGTCTGACCTCCATCCATTTTTTTTTCCCAACCAGGACTCCATCAGGAGCTCTCCTCGAGGCTTGGTGTGCTTGCTAGAGGTTTTTTGATGCTTTTAGAAATTTTATCAGCCTTTCTCACAACCTGGCAGAAAGCTGATAAATTATTTCCTTGGATCTCCCTGGAATCAAAGGGAATGGAGGAGGAAATACCTTATAAAGAGGCACAAACCATCTGGTTTTACTGTAATAACAAAGATCAATATCTTAAAAAAAAAACCAGGCAGTGTGTTTAAGGTGATGGAAAGGGATAGCAGAGTCAGGGAACAGATGGAGAAACAAATCTGTGAAACACAAATGAACTCTTTGCTAGCAGACTCTGCCTTGAAAGACTCTGGTCTCTTGATTGATGCTGAGCTGGCTGAGGGGAAGGAAAAATCCTTAATCTTAAAGCAGTTTCTACCTGCCCAAGTTAATTTTGCTTGGATGGAGAGTGGGCAGAGAAGGTGCAGGGCTGGGGCTGTGCTGACATAAAGGAAAGAATTCCATTTAGTGGCTGAGCTCAGGAGGGAGATTTCACTTCAAAGCAAATGAAATCCACCTCCAAACCCTACATTTCAAGAGATGTGGGATGGAGTAAGAACTGATAAAGTGGATTTCTAAGTTTATGGTGAGGGGAATAAGAAGTTCCCTGGTTTCAGAGGGGCAAACTCCTGCTCCAGGGCCTTTTCTAATGACAAAGCTGAAATAATCAGAGCTCCTGGTTCCTAAATGAGTGGAACTTGCCTGAAAACCTCATCCCAAATCTGTAGTTTGGTCTTGACTGCTGTGGAAGGAATGAGGATGTGCCCAAGGAGAAAGAAGTATTTTTAAAATCTTTTTAAATATTTTTTTATCTTTTTTTAAGGGTTTTAAGCACTGTCCCATGGCAGCTGAGTTTCTCCAGCCCCCTTTCCTCAAACCAAAAGGCCTCTGAGCCCTGGGGTGGATGCTGAGGCCCTGGGATCAGTTTCTCCAAATATTTGGTGGGATTAATTTGCCCCTGGGACTTCCCCTGTTGGAGAGGAGCTCAAATCCTTTCCTGGAGTGACTCAGGGTGAAAGTTTGTGCAAGTCCTTGTCTCTCCTCAGGGCTGAAAAGTGCACCCCTGGCAGCAGGAAATGTTCCCTGTGTTTTTATGACCCACTTCACCTCTGACTCAGAAGGCCAAGGGAGGCAACTGAGATGTAGGAAGGCTCCAAATCTGTAAAATAAAGTTGGGATTTCTTAATTTCTCCTACATTTACTGCAGACAATGGGAACTGCTGTGTACAGTGAGAGTTTGCCTTGGAGAACCTCCCTTCCTCCCACACAACCCGTGGATTTCTCAAGAAAAACTTCTAAAAATCCCTTCTAGAAGTATCAGGTTTTTGGCAAGAAGTTGTGCCTTTGGGTAAGCAGGAGCTGATCCTGCAGTTCATGAAGGAGGCTGGGATTGCTGGGGAGAGGAGCTGTGATTCACATCCCTCCCATCACTGCAGGATGGAAAATCTTGGGAGTTTGGACTCTGGGAAGGGCAGAATTCCAGGGAATTGGCCTTTCCCTGAGCTCTGAGTGGAATCCAGGCCAAGCTGCTTTCATTGGAGCCCTTCTGGTCACTTCTGAGCAGTGAAAATGTAAAATTCTGCTGTGACAGAGGTGACAGCCCAGTGCTAGGCAGCTGGCCCTGCTCCAAACCAGATGTCTGGACAGTGGTTTTGCAGGAGTGACCCCCATGGTTGGATTTTGCTTTGAAAACCAGATGGATTTGCAGTTCAGAAATGTGATTTCCTGAGTTAGGCTCATCCCTGCGCATAAACAACATCAAAATAAGGCAGCAAAGTTGGATTTTTTTTTCAAAACACAGATGGGGCAAAGCTTTGTAGCCCTCTGAGGCCTGCAGATAACCAAGTCCCTTGAAGCAGTTTGGGTTTTAATCTTGTTTTTCTGAGGCTGCCTCATGTTGGTGGGGTTTTGTCTTGCTATTTCAGGAAGTGCAAATGAGAGGATTGAAGGTGGGTGCAGCACTTTGGTGAGGAAAATTTCCTTTTTGTTTGAAGCTGAACCTTCAGCCTTTGTGGTGGGCCAGGGAGAAGGAGCTTTGCAAAGGTGGGGACGAAGCACCAGGCAGAATTCCTGAAAGGAGCTTTGATGTTCTCACTTCTCAAGGTGCCTTCTGAGGATGTGGTTTCACTTTGAAAAGCTCCTGCCCAGAAAATCAGGTGCCAGCTGCCAGCACCAAGGAAATGGAGATTTGTTTTCAGAGCTCCTCTTGTGTTTGTTTTAACTTTTTCACCGACTTTTTTTGCAGAAATTCCCCAAATTCCAACCCATCCCAGTGGGTGAGCGAGAACTTGGCCAAACCACAATTTCCAGAGAATTCCTGAGCACTTCCAGTGCAACCCCATTTGGATTTTACTGCTGAGGGGCTGTGCTGGTTCTTGTTCTGCATTTAGAGGTGTTAATTGGTCTGGTTTTCAGTGGTTTGAAGTTTCATTTGTAACTCCTTCTGCAAAAGCATTTCATGGGATTTGCACTTGAGTTTATAAATATTTTGCAGCTTTTAGATGTCATTTTCTTCTTTCCTGTGCTACTGAGCAACTCCAAATGAGTTGGAGGTGGATGGGTTGATCTTCCCAATGTTCCTCTCAGGGGTGCCAGCAGGGCCTTGTGACTCCTTTAGGTATTTATAAGTGGAATTTTGGAGAGCAAATTAAGTTTATTCAGGCAGCAAATCATCTCATATTTTTATCATCGCAATCTGACTATTTTTGGAGATGCTTTTGGCCCATGTGATCTTAAAGAAATCAAAATTTCAGCTCAGCACTGAAGTTTTTTAACCTTGTGGTTCAAAGATTTTATTTTGTGACGCCCAGGGTGGGACAGAACCTTTGGAAACCAGGCAAAGTTTCTCCCTGCCCTGAATGTGCAGTGCCTGAGACAGGGAGAATGGAACTCGTTTGTCCAAAGGATCAGCAGTGAAGCTTGGAGCAGAGCTTGGCTGCAGAAAATCCCAGAAATCCCAGAGTCCAGGCAGGAAGGAACCCATGGACGGCACTTTTGGGGCTGGGGCATGGCCACTGTCAGGGCTTTGTGATGTGAATTTTACCTCTTAAATCTTATTTACAAAGAGCTTTGCACTGAGGGAGAAGGAGGAATCCCTTGGAAGCACAGGGGAGTTGGCAGCACGTGGATTTCAAACCAGTGAACCCCACAAATTCAGTTCTTTGGAAAAGGAATCCTTCACCTGTGGTCTGGGGACAATTTCACTGATAGCCACGGAATCCCAGGATGGTTTGGGTTTAAAGGGGCACAAAGATCATCCAGATCATCTCACTCAGGGCAGGGACTCCTCCCACTCTCCCAGTTTGCTCCAGTCCCTGTCCAACCCAGCCTTGAACACTTCCAGGCATGGAAATTCCCAGCAAGCAGCTCCTGCCCGTGCCAGGGAGGTGCTGACGGTGGCTCCATCATCCCCTCAGGTTTGTGTTCTTCGGGAGTGTAAAAAACTCTGCCATGAAGCAGCTCTGCCCTTTGGGAAGGATTTGGGGCTGCAAATTTCCTTCTTTGACACTGCAAGTGATCCACAACTGAACGGTGCAGAGAGGAGGGAGGGAGGGAATGTGGGTTAAGCCTCCATGGAAGGACAGACAGACAGACAGACAGACAGTTTTACTGTATTTGCTCTTAGAGAGTAGCCAAGGGCCCTGCTGATGATTTTTGCTGGGGTGGAACCCAGTGATATCAATAAAAACTGGAATGAAACTGGCTTTGTGTGAGCCCTGCGTGAGCTCTGACAAAATGCATCACAATTAAAAATTTAACAGTGTTCATCAATGCATTGCAGCTGGAAAACAAGGAGACTGAAATGAAACCACTGTGTGGGGGCTTTTTTCCTGCCTTCCTCTCAAAAACTAACCAGCTCTTGCCTGAAAAGAGGAAGAAATTACATCCTCAAACGGGAAGTAGTGGAAGCTGATAAAATTCTCCCTTTGGTTTGGGAGGATATTTAGGTGCAGAACAGGTCTGGATGGTATAAATGGGTTTTATTTATCAGTTGGTGGCATTAAAGGTGAGGGTTTTGTGAGTTCAAAGGGACAAAGACGCTGCAAAGTGTCAAATGGCATCGTGGGGCTCCCTCATTATTGCCACTCAATGCTCTGCATCCAGCATGTCCAAATTGCAAGGAAAAAGAAGATTTTTTCTGGCTGCCAGCTTTGCTGCCTCCATCTGGGAATCTGAAATTCAAGCTGTGCCTTCCCCTGCTCTGTCACTAATATTGAAGATCCTTCATTTGGAACTTACTTAACCAACATTGAGGCTGAAGGAGAAACCAGCTCCTCTTTCCTCCAGACGTGTGGGCTGCAGCCCCACCAAGGGGGAACAGCATCATTTCAATGCCTGAGGTCAGCAGACAAATTCAATTAGACGCCAGATTTGTGGAGCAAACAGAAAATATTTTAGCATAACAAGTGCCTTGATGGGGCAGCTTTTGAACAAAAGCTGGAAGAGCTGATTGAATTTGGTCAGCTCTGCTTCCAGACGAGGCTGTAATAGCTCATTACACGTCGTTAGGAAGCTTTTTTTGCTGCAAATCTGGGGGAAATTACATTTGGTGCAACATATGGTGTCATCTTCAGCTCTCTCCTCGGGAAGCTCAGGCCTCGCCGAGGTGCCGCGTTTGGCTGGGCAGAATGCATGTGCAGCTGTGACATTGGCTTTGCAGCGATGTCACCTCTCCCATCCTTGGCAAGCGCCGCCACCAGCAGCCTGTTCCTCTCCCTTGGCATCTCCATCACCAGCTGAGATTGTGCTAACACTTCCCTCCGTGTAGGTGTTTCCTCCTCGCTTTGCATTGAAGTGGCAGCGCCTCGTGTTGCCGTTTTTCCTGGGAGCAGGAGCTGTGCCGGTGCCTGGTGGCCCGGGGGAGGGGGTGACGAGTGGCTGGGGCTGTGTTGTGAGTTGGAAGGACACGCTGTGCAGGATTGTTTGCTCCACACTTCCTCCCGCGGCTCCTCTTTTTGCTAAAACTCGTGGGGGAGGAATCTATTGGTTAAATTGTACTTTGTAGGCATAATATTACAGTGCTGGGAAGGAGGGAGGAGAGCCGTGCTCAACTCCAAACACGCCCTGAGCGCGCTGCCAAAGGGTTTTGTTTGCAGCTCCCTGCTCCTATTGTGCCCCAAATCTCTGCTCCGGTGGTTCTTGGAAATCCATGGGATTCATCCCGAGCCAGCTGGGAGGGCTTTGCTTTCAGACCTCGGCAGGGAACCGGCCTCTCTGGGATCCCTGGCACAGCAGCCCACTCCCACTTGCTGCTTTTTAGTATTTCTTGAAACCTCCCTTTTTGCAGCTCCCGCTTCCAACAATGAGTCAAAATCAGCACTCGGGGCAAAAACACGTGGGGGGAGTGGGTGGTCAGGAGGGTGGGCTGTGCCGTGGCCCAGCATGACTTCCCTCAGTGCGGCTTGGGTTTATTTTTGCTTCTTCTCTTGCCTTTATTGACTGTAAAACACCTCAGGAGGATCTTTTGGCAGCTGCTGATGGGAGTGAGGTCTCAGTTCTAAAGATGGGTTTAGGGTTGAGCTCACACAGTGGCTGACTCTCATGGGTTACAGTGGAATTTAGTACCCAGACAGCAGTTAAAGCTTTGATGTTTATGACCCTCTGAACAGCAGCGTTTTAAGTAACTTTATTCTCCTATAACCTTTCCCTAAAGTGTGGATTTACTCTTCACTTCACTTCAGAGTGGCTGGAAAATTTCCTTGAAGGGAATCACTTGGACTGAGAGGTTTGGAGTCCCTGTCTGAGCTGAATTCTGCCAGCCCACATTTGTTTCTCCTCACAAATAACATTTCCTTACTCTCCAAGCCTGCAGTTGTAGGTTACCAAATGCAGGTTATCAAAATAACCCTGGCACCTCCTGCCGCATGTGAATATTGAACTCTGCCCCTCACTGACACTTCAAATTTAATTCTGCTCTACCAAATGAGTGATCACATCTCTGTCAGGAAAGAAATTGCTTAAACCCGTCCCTAGGGAGCAACAACTGTGGAAAAACAGGGATATGGTCTGAATTCCCAGGGACAAGTGGCTTTAAAACAGCCACACGACCCCCAGACCTGCCAAATTACCAGGCTGGATTTCCTCTGGAGCAGCTCTCTGCCCCAGGATTAGGAGAGAGCATCTCCCTTATCATTTTGCACATGCTGTACCATCTGTCCTAAATCTCCCTTTGTAGGGCTGTGCATTCCAAATGCTGTTTCTTCCTTGGGAGATAACAGACGTGGCTGAAGAATTTTGTTAGGTAGGGCTGGGGTGCTATTTATGGTGTAAGTTTTTTTAGTCCTGCAGCCAGAACCCTCCCTGGTTTTCTCCACCCAGACACTGAGAAAATATTTAATTTTGTAGATCTGTTAAAGTTTTAGGTGTGGGAAATACAAAGTTTTAGGGTGTGTGTGCTGCTCAAAGCAAGCGAATATAAAATAATTAAATTCAGGCATTACAAGGACACAAGAGATGCCTTTAATCTTTTATTGTACATTATAAAATGTTTATTGCTCTGTCTGTATCAGAGGTGGTGACCTCTCCTTCTTGGTGATGGAAGAATCTGTTCAGGCAAAGGATCCTGGAGCCACCTTTGGGGTTGGCCTGCCTGGAAGCAGGAACATCTTCAGGAGAACTCCCCGGTGCCTTTTTCCCAAACCAGCTCTTTGGGAAAAGCTGGTGGCAGGGGAAGAGGAGAGGTGGCAGCTCCTCACTGCCAGGCTGCTCCTGCTCAGGAGCTCCCACCCAGGCTTCTCCAAAGCTTCCTCAGGCCAACCTCTGTTGGCATTTGATGGAACAATTCGGATCCTACCTCATCCCCTAAGTGCATGTGGAGTGGTCTTGTGGAGGAGTTAAATAAACACAGATACCCCATGGCACACTACAAAGAATAAATCTTTTCCATGTCATGGTCCTGCATCTCCCAGCTTTCCAGAGCACCAGCAATCCCCAGGGATCCTGTCAGCTTACAAACATCCAGCACTTGTTTAAGAGAGAGGAGAAACTCAGCCCTTTCCCCCTCCATCCTCATCCCTTTTTGGGAAGGGCTGTCTCCAGCAGACTCCTGCCATTCCAGGAGAAGCAGCCCTTCCCACACAGAAACTTGACTAAAAGAAGCATTTTAAGAACTTAAGCCCTCAAAAAAAAGGCCCCTCAGGCCAGAGCCTTCCACAATAAACAGCTCCTGCCCCTGGAGACCTTGCATAGCAACCGGTATCATCAGGTATTTTGTCTTTTTCTGTATTTTTTTTTTGCTGACTGGCTACATTTTTATGGACCTTTTATCCCATTGGTGGTGGAGTCAGGCCCATCTGAAAACACCACAAAGGAAATGGTTGAAATTATCCTGGAAGCTAAAGAACAGCTTCTGGTGTTTCCCCTCATGTTGGTCTGTGCCTCAGTGTTCCCCGACTTGTCTGAGGTGAAGAGCACCAGTGTGAGAGAGGAGAGACGGCAGCAGTGGAGAATGTGCTGCAGCCCAGCTGGAGAACAGCCAGGGAAGTTCTCCTGGTGGAAATGGAAACCGGGGGATGCCTTTTTCCTTTGAAAAACCCACCTGCAGGACGTGGTGCACGACACACATCGATGGACGAAGCGAGGCCCGAGCGCGCTGCAGCCAAGATTTGGCTTCTCGGTGGTGTTTGCCATGAACTTCCCTCCATTCCTGCTCAGAGAGGGACGTGCCTGATGCCTGGGAGTGCTGCCAGGGATGGAGTGACAGTGAGAAAGACACAACAGAACCTTGTGCATTCCCAAAAACCAGGAAAACTGTCCCAGAAGATGGAGCGTGAGCGTGGGAGACGTTGCTCCAATCTGATTCACAGATCACTCCAGCATCACTGATTCTTCTCCATCTTCTTTGTTTGGGTGTCAGGGTTTGGTTTGTTGTTTTGTTTTGTTTTTTGCAGGATTTCCTTTCCTGGCCAGATGCTTTGCAGAAACACGGATGAGGAGGTGGATGCCAGCGAGTGACAATCACGAGGTCTTGTTTTGCAAATCGCTCCGACAATGTTTCACCTCCCCAGTCATCACGGCTCAGAGGCAGAGTGAGAGTGAGGCATGGAGTCCATCTCTCAGGTGTCAGGCTGTCATGCTTCGATGATGTTCACTGAGGGCTTGTTTTTTGGAAACTGGGAGAGGAAACAAAGGAAAAAAAACGGATGTGTGGAAGGGAAAAATCACATCAGAGCTCAGTGCAGTCTGCAGGTTGTGTTTTGTGAAAGTTCTCCTTCCCACACCTTCATGGTGATGAGAAAGGTTTGAGCTTTTAGGCTTGTGGGGCTCATCGCTGCTTCTGAACCATCAAAAACCAGTGAACTATTTAAAATAATGAATAAATATGGCGGGAATGTGAACAGAAACACCAGGAAGTTACATTAATTGAAGAAAAGTTGGGATAAATGAAAGGCTTGACCTATTTACACTTCGCCATTGTGTTACCATCTTTGCTCCTGCTGATTAACTCTCCAGTTAATTACAGCAGCAGTGTCCTCTTTGCCACGTGCTGCTGTGGGAGGACCCGAGGAACTCATTTTTATTTTTTTTCCTCCAGAGACGCTCAGATCATCCAGAAACGTGGCTCGAAATCTGATTTCTGGCGGCCACGCAGGATCCCGGAGGTGGGAGCGAAGCGCTGCCGTCCTGATCAGCAGAGCCGTGGGTGTGGAGGGTGTTCCCTGCGGGGGGAGGATTTCGAACAGAGCTTTTTTTGGGCTGATTTAACACAAATCGGGCACTCACCTTGCTCCGCAGGAGGCCCCCGCCCTGGTGCTCGGGTGTGCTGTTCTCCGAGGCGCTCTTGGCTTTCTCCTTGCTGTTGTTGGGCTCGTTATCTTTGATGATATCGTATTGTCTGCAGAACAGGGCGATCACCCCTGCCGGGAGAGAGCATCACCATCACACCCAGCAGCTCGGCAGCCTGCAGAGATCACAGATCCCTCTGGCCCGCCTCGGCAGCGTTCCCAGTTCCTCCCAGACCGCGGCCAGGCTGCCCTCTGGCTCTTCCCTTCCCTCAATTCCATGCTAAACTAGTTAGACAGGACGACAGAAGATTAATCAGATTCCAGCCTCCCTGTTATGAAGTGTTTTAAGCTCTGCATTTGGACCTCGACCAACACCAACCCCGTGGTTCAGTGAGCACTGGAGCTGCTGGAATTTCTGCCTGGTGAAAATGTGTCCTCTGCTCCTTGTCCTCTGCTCCTTGTCCTCCCTGTCCTCTGCTCCCTGTCCTCTGCTTCTTGTCCTCTGTTCCTTGTCCTCCCTGTCCTCTGTTCCCTGTCCTCTGCTCCTTGTCCTCCCTGTCCTCTGTTCCCTGTCCTCTCCTCCCTGTCCTCTCCTCCCTGTCCTCTGTTCCTTGTCCTCTGTTCCTTGTCCTCCCTGTCCTCTCCTCCCTGTCCTCTCCTCCCTGTCCTCTCCTCCCTGTCCTCAGGACCTGCAGCTGGCAGAGGAGAGGTTCTGAACCCTCCAGCACCTGCAAATGGGCACCAGCACAAGCTGCAAGTGGAAATTTCCTCCCCCACAGCCCCAGGCACGTGGAGAGGGAAGCAGGGGCAGCCCTGGCACGGAAGATGACTGCAAATGTCTGTCTGAGAAGCTTTTATGTGATGTTTCCATCAAATAACCTCTCTGCCTGCACATTCCAGACACGTAGGTGAAGTGGATCCAGGCAGATGCTGCTTTTCCCTCCTTGAAAAAAATCTTCCTTAATAGCAAAATATATTTAAATCTTCCAGCATCCTGCTCTATAAAACGAGCGTGGCAGTTGCCCCCAGGCTTTACTGATAAACACAGTGGCCCAAATTCTTTCTTTGGGAATGTGGGTAAGTGGCTGATTCCAGGAGAAAAGGCGTTAACATCTGCCACAGCCATTCCTTGTGTGATTTCCTTGGGTAAAACTGACACACAAAGAAGGAAAATGCCATGAAAAATTCCAGGAACACAAGAGCTGGGTCTTGGCTCAGTCCAGAGCTCTGGGAATGGACTGGATCCATTTGGATTTTCCCAAATATTGTCACACAGGACAGGTGAAAAGCTGGAAGGAGGTGTTTGTGTATTGGGACTTTTTAAAGAACCCATTTGATGCAGAGAGATTCTCCCCACACCCCTTTTGCTTTTTAAATGTAAGTAATTTGTCTGGAAGGGAAATTGTGGGATTAGCAAATTCTTTGTTCCCAGCTGATCCCAGTCTCAGATTATTCTACAGCAGGAGATGAATCAGTTGTTCAGTCACCCCATGTAATTATTCATGATTATTTTCCCTGGCAGGGCATTGAAAATGGGATGTGCACAACTAAAACATGGCATAAATGCTGAAAAAATAACGGCCTAGAGGTTCTGGAAATCTTCTGAGTTCATTTCGATTTTCATGTGATTGTTTGCTTTAGAAATAATTGCTGTCCAGTTTCTGGAGATGCAAATCAGGGGGAACAAAATATTATTATACATGGATCTGATGCAGTGTCACCTGGATTCCTGCATCCCTTTCTGTGATGGGGAAATTTCTGTGGAAAAGTTATAAATATAAAAATATATTAAATATAAATATATAAATAAATTTACATCTAAAGGATAGAAATATACAAATATCTACAATAATAGAAAGACAGATTAAATATAAATATAAATATAAATATAAATATAAATATAAATATAAATATAAATATAAATATAAATATAAATATAAATAGTGAGTGTGGAGAGCAGGACTCTAAATCTCTATTTTGCCTGAGCATTGGAGTCTTATAATATCCAGAAAATTACTGCAACCTGTAATATCTGAAGGATTCAAGGCATATCCTGTTGGATATTTGGATTCCTGGAAATGTTCCAGGACAGGGCTTGGAGCAACCTGCTTGGCTGGAAGGTTGGGTGGAACAAAATGATCTTTATGTCCCTTCCAACCCAAACCATTCCATGATTCTGTGGCTGAGAGCATCATAATCAGGGCAGTCTGGAAAAAAATGAGATTACAGGGTTAGCCATAGGGAATTGCTTCCATCAAATCCATTTTCTGCTTCCTGGTGGACCCAACTCGAGCTGCAAAACCCAACTTGAGGTGCCCTTACAGTGAGAACTCTGGTTTTTTTGGGAGGAAGGGTTTCTTCCATGGTTCCATGTGCAGCCAGGCATTCCTGAGGATGGATATCCTGTGGATATTAAATTTGACAGGGATTGGGACTGACCTGCCCACATGAACAACACCACAACAATGATGAGAACTTCCCCCGCTCGCAGCTGTTGGTTTTTCTTCGCCATCTCCTTCATTGTCACCTCATCTGCACAAGGGCAAAGAGACACCGTGAGACCCCAAGGCCAGCTCAGAGCCTGGCTTAGGAGTGCTGGCAGAGTCCTGACACTCCTTAGGGCACTTGGATTGGGATTTAGGAAGGAATTTTTCCCTGTGAGAGAGGCTGGAATGGATTTCCCAGAGAAGCTGTGGCTGCTCCATCCCTGGAAGTGTCCAAGGCCAGCTTGGATGGGGCTTGGAGCACCCTGGGATAGTGGAAATGTCCCTGCTCATAGCACAGGATGAGCTTCATGTCCCTTCCAACCCAAACCAGGCTGGCACTCCAGGATTCATCCTGTGACACCCTGAGGGGACAGGGCAGTGTTATCTGTCCCCATGGCTGCTCTCTCTGCTGTCCCTGTCCCTGTTAGTGCCATCTGCACCTGTCCCAAAGCCTGGCATGCTCCAGCAGCTCCAGCTCAGGAGTGTGGAGAGCCTGGCAGGATATTTTCCAGCAGAGCTCTGGGATTCAGAAAGGAGCAGAGCCTTTTTGCAGGGCATAATTCCCCTCCTTGGCTTCAAAGCATTAAGGAGATTACAGTTCAGGCCCCCAGGAAAGGAGCAGTGCTCCTCTTAGTGCTTCCAGATAAACAGCAATTCAGGATTTACAGCCTCCAAATCAGTTTAATAAAGAGAGTCAAGGACTCACATCCTCAGAACCACGGCCAAAAGCCCTGGAACAGGCTGGGCCCTCAGCAGGCAGGGGGGGACCTGGGTGTCCCCACAGCCCTGCACTGCCAGGCCCTCCTTGGAGCTGACAGAAAACCCTCAAGAGCCTGGTTTGGCTAAAGAGGAGCAAGTGAAGGAGTTGCCAGTGAGGAAGTGCCTGATTTTCCCCCTGGAGATATTGAAAACCCAGCTGGATCTGATCCTGCACAAGCTGCACTGCTTGACCCTGCCTGGGTGAGGTCCCTTCCAAGCTCATCTCTCTGTGATTTGGCAGAAATATTGAAAATGTAAGAAAAGTGGGAGCCTCTGGGTATTTTTTTCCCTGAAACCCAAGCACAGGAGGTGCTGTGAATCCCACAAGTGCCCTGTGAGCACAGTGGGATTCCACATGAGTTCACAGGCTGGCCAGGAATTCCCCCTGGCATTCTCCACTTGTAGGGAGCAGGACACAGAGCTGCAAACTTCCTCTTCCTCACTTTGTTAGATCTCATCCGAGGTGGGAGAAGGAGCAGCCACCTCCAGCAGCACCTCCCTGGCACCTTGTGCCCCCTCAGCCCATCCTGAGAGGACACTCAGCCCCATGAGTGTTTATCTCACAGCCTTCATGTATTTATCACCTATTTATTCTCCCAGCTCCTCTCAGCACACGGGATCCTGGTTCCTCTCTGCAGAGCCCTGTGTCCCAGGGGCCACATAGGAACTCACCCACACTTGCCTTTATTTTTAGAGGCTAGTTTCTCAGCTTCCCTGGGGGTCTTGAAGAGGACTGGCTCACTGGCAGGGCTCTGGCCTTGGATGCTGATGGACTGGACATGCACAATGTACTCAGTGTCCTCCTCTAGGTCCCAGAGGGCACAGGAGCGGGTGGTGGTGTTCACCTCCTGGATGAAGCGCAGCATCCGCACGTCCTTCTTCTGGAAGCCGAGAGAGGAGAGCACAGAGTGGTGGAGAGGCTTCTCCACGTGCATTTGTTGTCACCTAAGGCCACTGATTCCTGCCCTGCCCACCAACGTGGATGTGGAGGAACCGTCAGGATCCTTCCCTCTCTGCAGCCGCTGCTGCAAAGGGGATGGGGGAGCCAAATCCCCTCCGGGACCACGAGGGACAGGACCTGAAGGAATGGCCTTAAACTGCAGCAAGAGGATTTGGGAACCAAGGGCACCTGGGGGGAGATGGACATGGCTGGAACTGGGTCATTCTAGGCACGGTACCTGCTGGGAAATTGCAAATCCAATGACAACTTCGTCCTCCAGGACATCCCAAGTGACCACGGCCGAGTTGGCTTTCAGGTGTTTGACTGTGACATTGACTGGAGCCGAAGGGCTGTCTGCAAGGAGGGAGAGCAGAGCCTTGACAGGGACAGGACACACAGCAAGGGCAAGGAGAGGAGTGGGAAAGGACCTTCTCCAGGATCTGCTTTGGATTTGTGACCTGGATATTGCAGGCACCCCAGGTCTCAATTCCCAGGGTGGAGATAGGAGGTGTCAGCTGAGAATAAGAGTTACATTCAACACGGGTTCCAACGGATAGAGGGGAAATTTAAGTTAAATATAGGGAAGAAATCCTTCCCTGGGAGGGTGGTGGAGGTTTCCCAGAGCAGCTGTGGCTGCCTCTGGATCCCTGGAAGTGTCCAAGGCCAGGTTGGAGCAACCTGGGAGAGCGCAAAGTGTCCCTGCCCATGGCAGGGAGTGGGACTGGCTGATCTTCTGTCCCTTCCAACCCAAACCATTCCATGACTCCATGTGTGAAATACCCAACCCTTGGGAGGAATTTGTTGACCGCCACAGCCCAGCCAAGCCCTGAGCAGCTCATTCATGCCATCCTCCCCAGCCACATTTTTGCCTGTCACAGTCTGACAGTGACAGCTGGGAGGAAATTCCAGCTCTGCCATGGACGTGTGCACTCAGAATGCTTTGAGGAGCATTCTGGAGGTTTGAAACACAGGACTGAAATAACTGTGAGAGTTTATTTTGTTTTTCCCTGGCAGAAAATGGTTCCTTACAATGTTTTGTGGCTGATGTCAGAGCACATCCACTTGGAGCTGCCAGGACCTGGTGGATCCTGCAATGTGGAAAGGGCAGGCCAGGAGAGCAGGAGCCTGAGGCTCTGTGTTTATTCCCAGCTCCAGAGCACAGCTGAATTTCCAGTAGAATCCTCCCAGGAGGAGAGCTGAGCTCCTGTACAACCTCCCCAGGAGCCTCTTCCCAAGGGAGCTGCCCAGTCCAAAGCCCTTCCTGGCATCTCAAGGGAAGGTTTTGGCACAGCTCTTCCAGCTGGACTCTGTTCCCACTCTGGTGAAATTTAATTCACAATCTTCAGCTTTGCTCTGAACCCAAAGCAGTGAATGCTCTGAGTAGCCCCAGGAGGTCAGTAAGGTGAGGAAGAGTAATTTTATTCCAATTTTTATGAGAAATTTATACTTTTATTTCATGATAACCACCCCTTTGTGGCTGGTACAGGTCACCAGTACAAGAGGGGTGCACCTGTGCCCATCTCCAGTGACACTTGTTGGATTTATGGTCATTCCCAGCCGCCTGGATGGAGCTGAAAATACTCAAGCTGTAGTGTCAGTGTCTGACATCACTCCTGGTGAATGCTCCCCCTGGGAACAGAGGAGCCCAGAATTCCCCAGCTGAAGGTCACTTGGCACAGTGATCCCTCGTTCCTTTCACAGCCTGCAGGTAGAGCCTTAGGAATAAAATGTCTGGAGAAGCCATTCGAGCCAGACTGATTCTCAGTAAACAAAAAAAAAAAGTCACTGAATGGCTGAACTCACACAAATTTAGGACTGATTCTCAGTAAGAAAAAAAGTCACTGAATGGCTGAACTCACACAAATTTAGGACTTTAGGAGGAGCAGCAAATCTGTGATTCCACAGAGGGATGTCATTCCTCTCTGGACTAACAATGGAGTCGGTGTCGACCCGAAGCATTCTCATCTCTGCCCTCATGGAATGAGGCAGAATTCCCCAGCCTTCCTCTTGGAGGATGGGATCCCTCACCATCCTCACCCTCCCTGCAGCAGCAGTGCCAATGACAAGCTGAGGAAGGAGACAAATCATCCTCCCCATCCTGGAATAAAAGTCCCTTCCAAAGCCGGCTGTGACACGAGGAAGGGACGTGGGTCTGCAGCTCTTCACCTTCCCCCGTGACTGAAGCAACAAAAGTCGAGTCTAATTTTAGGAAGGGGCGGTCAGCAGACAGGAATGTGCACGGGGAAGGTCTGTGAGTCATGCCTGATGAATTTGCTGGAACATACGGAGGACATGACGGAGTTGAGGGATGGGAGACAAAACATTCTCCAGCTGCAGCCAAGCACTCGGCCCTTCCCGGCTGCAGAGCTCAGTCCCGCCCTGGTTGTCTTCCCTGGGTATTTTTAGGAGCTAAATTTTAAATTTTTTTTTTTTTTTTAGGAGCTACCACTGATTTAGCCAGCTTCAGTTGGAGGAGGGCTTTGAAAAGAGATGAATTAACCCCACAGGAACAGAGAGCAGAGATCACGGGGAAAAAAAAAAAAAGCCGGGAAAAGGGAACAGCACTCGGAGTGTTCAGGTCCCCTTTGAAATTTGTGACCTTGAGGGAGGCACAGCATAAAAAGTGTCCGAGTTTCCTGATGGCATAAGATGTGGGGGAGTTGGGAGGACCTTGAAGAGCTGGAGGAGAGCAAAAAACTCTCCTGGGAAGAGGTGGGAGAGGGTGGAGAGCTGTGAGGCAGGAGGGAAACACTCAGAAAAGCTGAAAGCCAGAGCTCCAAGCCTCCAAAACTGGAATCTGCATGGAGGTGAGGGAGAATCCCCCTGGAGTGGGTGGTCAGGAACATTCTAGAACCTTTCTTTGTAGGAGTACCTGAGAGAGGGATGGGGTAGTGAAGGCAGCAGCTCTAAAATCCGGGAATCCAGGACAGCAGATCCCAATGTGCCTTCCCTTGCACTGCTACACCCAAATCAGTGGTGTCAAACCAGCATAAAAACACTAAAAAGAGAATTAAACCGTGTTTGACAGAAATACAAACCCAGGAAAATGAATTTCCTGCTCCCAGAGCTGCGGGGATAATTTGGAACCAAAATTTTCATCCATGAGGTTGCTTTTCTCCCTGTTCCCAAGAGATGAAATGATGAGATCACGACTTCCTAAGACCTAAAACACTGTTCCAAGATATTCCACAGGACTTTTGGCTCCCTGGCCCTGTTGCAGCTCTTTGTCAGTGCCAGCCTGGCTGAGATCAGGTGGAAAAGGTGCAATTCCTGTAATTTCCCAGCTGGCTGCAGGAGGTCAGCAGCTCGAGCAGGGCCTCGAGGTGCCAAATCCAAATTTTTGTTTCCTTCTAGAGTCATGTGCAACTCCTGGAAACTTTGCTTCTGTGCCTGTGGCAGCCAGGAAAGCTGCTGGTGTTCTGGGAGTGGGCACAGAGGGTGGGAATGCTGCAGGGATAGCGGGGAATGGGTTGTGGATCAAGGTTTTTATTTTTGTGCCTGTTTATTCCAGAGCTGCTGAGGGCAGCACATTCCTTGTCTGCTCCATTAGGGAATGGTGCAAGATTCCTGGTTTAGCACTTTAACTTCATTCCAGTGCAGGATGCTGGAGCAAATCCCACCCTCCAAACTGGCAGAGGATATTTACCCAAATTTAGATGGAAAAAAAAAAAAAAATTTCTCATTTTCATGTCAGCAGAAAATCACCCCACCCCTCATTAAGGGAAACCCTGATGACTTCAGCTGAAATCCGGACTTTTAAACATGAATAGCAGCTTAAAAACAGAGGGTTTCTAAAATCCCATCTGGTTTCCTTCCCACAGAGTCAGGAATCTCTCATCCCCCAGGCCCTTGCGTCCCAGCCCTCCCCGGTTCCGCCGCACCTGGGGAGCCTTTGGCAGGAGCAGGTCGGAGCCTCCGCTGTGCACCAAGAAATCCTGAGCCCTGGAGATGATCCTTCATCCCTTGCCCGTGCTCAGAACCCCTCCCAGCCTTCCATTAAATGTTTTCCTCATTATTGTTGGACTTTAATTGGAGAGGAGAGAGGGGAACACGGCTCACGCTTTGCAGCTCATGTTGGGCACAAGTGGAGCCCCCCCCTGCTTCCCTGCGAGTTGGATTCCTCATGGGAGCTCTGGCATGGATGGGAGGGGTGGGAAAAAGAGCAGGGGAAAGTTTTGTTCCATCCCACTGCTGCTGTCACCTGGGAATGGGGAAGATGCTGAACACTGGGGTGTCCAAACCTTGGGGTGCCTGGGAGGATCAGGGAGGTACCCAGGCCACAGCAGCATCACTGAAGGAAAGAAGGAACCTGTGGGGATGTCACAGCCTTGGGGTCACCTCAGGCCAGCCGAGTCCAGAATTCCACAGGTCTGGAATAAAGTGTATTTCTGGATTTATCTCCCCAGCCAAGGGGTGCCCAAAACCCCCTGAATTCACCTCTCCCGTGGAGCTGCTTGGAATTGCATCCTTGCCGAGGCTGTGCTGTATTCCCAGCGTTTCCCAACTCACTCAGCTCCTCTCCCAAGCAGCTCCTTCCCTGCTGGGAAGGGCTTGAGCTGCCTCAGAGCCCCAGGGCCATGGTCTGGTGAGCTGAGGCTCTGGAGCAGCTCATTCCCTGCTTTCCTGCAGCAAGCAATGAATCCCAGCCTTAATTCCCAGCATCTCTTGATTTCTGCACCACAACCTTCCCTGGAGATGCAGGAGGTGAAAGGACACGACCAGGAAGGAGCATCCCCAAAATCCATGAGCTGTTTTCTGCCCTTTCCCTGGGTGTGGATTCACACAGAGCTGATTTTGCTGCTTGCTCTGTGCTCTCCCAGCATGGATCCCATCCGTGGCTGTAATTGCTTGTGGGTTTTATGGGCTGTGTGGGAAGGGCTGGCACATTGCTCAGCATTCCCAAGGGTTTTGATGAAGGGAGCCCCAGGGGGATGTGTGGGATCATTGCTGCTCCCAGCCCCACGGGAAGCAGAGCTGTTTGCTAAGATCCAGAGATTTCAAAGAGCAGAGAGGCCAACTGGTGGCTCTTTAGCTGGGAAAGAGGCAATTATTCCCTGCTGACCATTCACTTCCCTATAAAAATGGGATATTAATAGGCCCCCAGCCCCCTCCTGCCCACCCCTTGGCTCTGTGGCTGATTCCCCAGGGAGCAGCTGCCCAAATGTGCTGGAAATGCTGCCAGGAGTGTGGAGCCTTTCCAGGGAGCGCAGAGACTGTGGCCAGCCAACCACTGGGAATTCCTTGGGGCTGCAGGATGGAATATTTCTACCCTGCAGAGTCCCAGAGACAGGCAGGATTCTCTCAGGACTCCCCAGTGCCACAGTTTGGGTTTAAATGCTTCCAGCTCAGAGCAGAGTCATTCCCATCATGGCATTTTTAATCCAGGATCTAAATATCCACAGAGAACTGGGTCCCACAGGCTGTTCTAGCTCCTCTTATCCCTCACCTCTGTAGTATCAGAGCAATCAGAGGGGGTGAGGAAGCCTGGGGATTTCCTGGGCAGTGCTGGATGCTGACACCAGACCTTTCCCAGGATTGTGCTGCCTGATCCTGGCCCAGCTCTGCTCCTGGATCCCACTTTTACTGCACACATCAAGGTTTGCAGCTTCATTGCTCAACACATTCCTGCTTTTAACTGAATTATACTTGATCCAGGCCCTAATTCAGCCTTTGGGCACTTCATAAACCAGCAAGAGTTTGTTTAGCAGTGAGCATCCAAAGGGTGAGGATGAATCCAGGAGCAGAACGTGCATGGCACTGCAAGCACATCTCTCTGGGAGGAATCTCCCTTTCCCACAAACAGAATCCCAGCAGGAAACAGCATTTGGAAGAGGATGGCTCAACCTTGGCTGCCTCTCACAGCACCAGCCCTGCTGAGAGCCTGACACAGGGTGAGAAACCTCCCCATGCCAATTAAATCCCTCCCACGCCGAGCACAGCAATCAATAAAGCTCTCACACCATCCCCAGCCAGGCAGGAACCTCCCCGGCCTCTGGGATGAAGGGAGAGGCTGCAATGGGCTGCATTGTTGCTTCCAGATTGCTGAGACACCTTTTGCTGCTCTCCTGAGCCTGCTGAGCTTGTTGCTCACCCTGATCCATGGGTGATCCCAGCTCCCTGGGGAGCACATCCAGCCTGGGCAGCGCCTGGAGCCAGATTGGTGCCTTTGCTGTGCTCTCCTTCCCCCCACAGGGCTGGGGGGCTGCCTGGGGAGGGGGTGAGGCTGGCTGGGAGTGGCTCAGGGGGTGAGGACACGCTTCAGAACCCAGCTGGGGGGGTTTGGTGAGGTGGGGCAGCTGTGAAGGGGCTCCTCAAACCAGAGCTCGTCCTGCTCCCGAGGGCTGGCCCAGGGCTGTGCTGGCAGGGGAGGTTTTACCTGAGCTCTGTCACCTCTGCTCTCCAGCTGACAAAAATAAACCTGACCTGAGCTGCTCCACGGGCTGGCACCTCCCAGTGAGGCTGTTTGCAAGGCACAGGGGCTGTGGCCTATTTTGGGGTCTGCCATCAGCACCCCCTGCTCTTTGAGCCCTCAGCAGTGCCCCGAGCCCAGCCCAGCTCCCCTCTCTTCATTAGCTCAGCCTAATGAGGAGGGGACAAGATTAAATCCAATTCCTGACTTGCCAACCATCCTGAGTGTTTCCTCAGGGACCTTCTGGAGCAGGGGGAGCGATGGGAGGGCATCACCCACCCAGCTGGGATTTGGGGTTGCCAAGGAGCATTGGTGTGAAGATTATTTCTCAGCCACCTCATGCTCCTGCTCCTGCTTCCCCTCCTCACTCACCTTGGCATCACCTTGGCGAAAAATGGTCCTGCCTGGCCAAAATCCCTGAATTCAGAGCAGGGCCTGTGCTCGGTGCCACTCACCAGCCCTTGCCCTGGCATTGCCAGGGGGGAATTTGCACCAGTCCCTCCTGGGCATGGCAGCTTTAATCTCTCATGACAGGAATTATTTTAAACCCGCTCACACAAGCTCTGGGTGCAAAGGGGACAGACCCTGGAGCCTCCATCCCTGCCTGGGACTGATTTCCTCCTCATGGGCTTTTCCAGTGACTCTGGGCTCGTGTGCCTTGCGTGGCCTGGTGGCCACATCATCAGCAGGGCTGGGGACACGGAGCTGTCATGGTGGTGACGCTGCCACTACCTCTGTGTGACCTTGGGAAAATCACTCTGTGCCCTCATCCCTGGGAAACGGGGACAGCACAAACCCTCTGCCTCAGCTGGTGCAGGGAGAGCCCATCAGGACCCTTGGCACGGGTGACACAGGAGCAGGAGGCGGTGGGGGACCATGGCAGCACCCCAGAGTGACACAGCTCACTGGGGACATGGCACAGACACCTCCCAGCCCAGGCAGGAGCAGGGAGAGGTTTTGGGCAGGGACACAACTCCCTGTCTACTCTGGGGTGCCGGGTGAGGTGATCCAAGGATAAGGAAGAGCAGGGAAGTGGCCGCGTTGACAGAAACCCCGAGTGCTGTCACAACTGCAGACGCCTCCATTGTGTTTTCCACGGTGTTTTCCTCATCCCTCCCTCCCTTTGGGAAGGTTTCATTAATCTCCCCAGATCTGGCAGTTGTGAAACAGCAACTTCAGGAGTCAGTGCCTGGCCAAGGACGGGTGGCAGAGCTGAAGGCATCCAGGGCTTGCTGCAGCCCTGTGTGTGACCCCAAATGGAACTCCAGCAACTTCCAGGGATGGCTGGAGGGGAGGAATCTCCACTCCCCGGAGCTCTGCATCCCTAATAATCACCCCCAGCCTCCTGGAATGCGAGATACCCTGGCAATCAGCAGGCTGCAAATCAAAGCAGCTGTTCCACCAACATCTTGCAGCCAGCAAAGCAGCCAGCCCTCAGCTGCTTGGGGCTGGGGAGCTCCCCCAGCACTGCCCACTTGACACCCACACAGGGGCTCCTGGGGCCACTGAAGGCAAGAATGGACTCGAGTCCATCCTGGTAGCTCCAAAATTAGCTCCAGCTCAAGGGAACACTGCCTTCACCAAAGATCCCCACTCCAGGTGAGCTGCTCAGCTCGGAGGGGCCTGGCTTTTGTGGCTGGGATGTGCAGTGTCCCTGGAGAGGTGCTTCCCCTGGGGCCACCCGGGCTCCTCTGGGACCACCCGGGCTCCTCTGGGACCACCCGGGCTCCTCTGGTGCTTCCCCAGCGTTCACAGAGCTCCCAGCAGAGCCCGGCTGGGCCCTGGACAGCTGGGAAGGGACATGGACAGAGCAAACCCGGCTTTGCCCCCTCCGCTCCGGTTCAGCCCCGTGACACCAACCAGAGCCGCTGCTCAGGTGCCCCAAACCTCCCCCTGCCCCTCTCCCTCCTCGTTTCCTCTCCCTCTCCCCTTTCCCCCACCTCCGTTCCCGGGGATGCCGCGAGCTCCCGAGCCCGGTGCCGGGGGCTGCGTGTCCCGAATCGCCGCCTCTCCCGCACCCAAATCCCGCCAAAGTCGCCCCAAACTCCGGCCCCTCCGCGCAGCCCTGCCCGCTCCCTCCGCGGCCCCCGGGGGTCTCTCCTGGCACCGAACCCGCTCCCCGCGGCTCCGGCAGCCGCTCCCGGGGCCCGGCCGCCCGTACCTGCCTCCACCGGGCGCAGACCGGCGTAGCTGAAGCAGAGCAGGAGCGCGGCGCCGGTGCAGCCGAGGAAGGGCTCCATCCCCCGCGGCCGCTCGGGGCCGGGCCGAGCCGCTCCGGGCCGGGCCGGGCCGGGCCGGGCCCCGCCGGCGGCGCGTCCTGCGGGCACAACGGAGCCGTTCAGCACCGCGGAGAGCGCCGGGGCCGCCGGTACCGCCGGTGCCGCCCGGTGCGGCGCGGCTCGGCTCGGCTGGGCTCCGCTCCGCCCGGCTCGCCTCGGCTTGGCTCGGTTCGGTACGGCACGGTACGGGTCGGCACGGTTCGGTACGGCTGGGCTCGAGCGGGAGGCGGCCCCGCCGAGCCCCGGCTCCGCCCGCTGCAGCGCCGGGCAGCCCCGCTCCGGTCCCTCCCCCGGCCCCGGGGGCGGCGGGACGGGGGCGGCTCGGGCCCCCCGCCCAGCACGGCCCCGCTCGCTGCCTCAGTTTCCCCGTCCCGCCCCCGCCGGGGTCCCGGCATAGCCGTCCCAGGGGTGCTCGGACACCGGGGGTCCCATCCCGGCCGGGAGCAGCTCTGGGGGCACAGCGGAGGGGACGTGGCACCCCCGGGGTGTCACCACACAGCCCTGCGGGGCAGCGGGCGCTGGGTTCCGAGGAGCCTCTGCAATCAGCCGTGCCTCCAGGGCAATTCAGCGGCACCCTCTGATTGATGCTGGCGATGGGAACAGAATCCAAGTCCCAGCTCAGCTGCCAAATCCTGCGACACTGGAGGGGGCCCTGCTGCGACCCCCCCGACCAGCGATGGGGTGTCCTGGCCCTGGGTGGCTCCGGGCACGGGTGGCACCTTCCAGCACCCAGGGACAGCCCTGAGTGGGGCACCCACCCGTGCTGAGGGTGGGCAGTGCTGGCTGTGTGTCCCTCACTGTCTGTCTGTCTGTCTGTCCCAGGTGTCCCTCTGCCACCTGGGGACTCCCATGAGCATCACTGGTGTCCCATATTTTTGGCAATCCTGGTCCTCCCTATGGTTTGGTTTATGGCCTGGTGGTTTCTCCCTGCTCTGATGGAGAGGGGGGGTGAAACAGGAGTGGGGGGCTCTGGCAGCCCCTTGCCACCCTCCCCTTGTCACCCTCCCCTTGTCACCCTCCCCTTGCCACCGTCCCCTTGTCACCCTCCCCTTGTCACCCTCCCCTTGCCACCGTCCCCTTGTCACCCTCCCCTTGCCACCCTCCCCTTGCCACCCTCCCCTTGTCACCCTCCCCTTGCCACCCTCCCCTTGTCACCCTCCCCTTGTCACCCTCCCCTTGTCACCCTCCCTCTGGCCATGCACGGACACAGTGAGAGCCCCCCCGCCCCAGCTGAGGAGTCCCCAAAGATCCTTCCTGGACAAGGGAGAGCCAAAAACTTCAGCCAGAGCCAGGGGACAGCCAGGGGACAGCCCTGTCCTGCCAAAGCTGTGCCACTCCAGCTCTTTCCCCGGCCTGGGTGATGACGATTCCAGCACGGTGTCTGTGCCTCAGTCCCTGCTGCATCCAGGGAAATGCCTGTGGTGCCTCCCTTTCATCCCTGCCTGGCAGCAGATTTAAAATTTCATCAATTCAGCGCTGGAGAAGGTGCAGGGGAGGAGAGGAGCAGGAGCCCCAGGATGGGCAGGGTGGGGTTCAGCCCCTCGCTGGAACTGCCTGAACTGAGCTTGGGGGACCCCAAATCCAGCCTGGGCTGGAAGGAGCAGGATTTGGACACTGTCCTGGGGCTGCAAGGAGCAGGATTTGGGCACAGCCATGCAGGGATAACTGGGTTGGAAGGAGCAGGATTTGGGCACTGTCCTGGGGCTGGAAGGAGCAGGATTTGGGCACTGCCATGCAGGGAGGTGGCTCCAGGCCAGGCTGCTGCTTCCCCTGGGCCTTCCTTCCCCAGAACACGAGGCTGGGCAGGAGATGCTGCCGGGCTCAGGCTCCTGGTGGTGCCTCCTCCATGGGCTGCACACCTGGAGCAGCACCACAACCCTGAGTTCTGCTACCAGTGATGCCAGACCAGCTCCAGGAAGGCAAAGCTGAGGTGCCAGCAGGATGTGCCTCCGTGCCAGCAGCAGCAGAGGGAATTCCAGGTCCCCCAGCAGTGAGATGCAGGGATTGGCACAGAAACTCAAGGATTCCCTGCCTGCCTGGACCCCATCCTGGGCCAAGGCTGAGCCCCACACGTGGCACAGGGAGTGTTTTGCCCCAGTGGCTCCTGGCAGATGTGACAAGGCTGGTCCCTGTCATCCCACTGCCTCCCAGGCTCCCACAGGAGCGTTTTGGATGTGTCCTGGTATTTTTCCAGAGGCTGAACACAGCTACCACCACAACGCCTTGGCTTTTTCCTTTCCCCCTTTCCAAATAACGGAGGAACATCGCTCTATTCCATGCCTGTGACATCTGCCACGCCCAGCACTGCCCTGGGATGTCACCACCGCGCTCATGTCCCCTCTGGGGGCTCAGGCCCCGGGTTCCCCGGGTCAGCCCACGCTGTGTTTGTCCTTTCCCTGTCCCCTCTCCTTTCCCACCACCTGCCAAAGCTTTTCGGGGCGTCCTGGTCCCTCTGGGCTCCCTCTGAGGCTCCTTCACCTCCCCAGCCCATCGCTATTCAAGTCACACGACGCCCGTCACGCGTCCCCCCGTCTGCCAATTAAGTCGCAGCTCTAATTACGCACTCAGGCTCCGCAGACGCTCCAGACGGACACCTGGGAGCCGCCAGCTGTCCCACCCCTCACAGCCAGCCCTCCTCACCGCGCCGGGCTCTGCTGGGGCCGAGCACCGAGCCCGCAGCCCGGTGACACCAAAAAATTGTCCCTAAATCGGTGTCGTGGTGTGGGGCCCTTGGGAGGGGCTTTCCGTGCAGCCCACGGGGGAAATGGGGGTGGGTGTCCCCCAAAAGGGACAGTCCCAGCTCTGGGGGGATGCGGTGGCACAGAGGGGGTGCACTGGGGGGTGGGCAGGGGGTTCAGAAGCGGGGGGTGCGGGGTACCGGGGGTACAGGGGGTGCGGGGGGTTCAGGGGGTGCAGGAGGTGCAGAAACTGCGAGGTTCAGGAGGTGCAGGGAGTGAGGGGTACAGGGGGTGCGGGGGGTTCTGAGGGTTCAGGGAGTGCAGAAAGTGCGGGGTTCTGGGGGCTCAGGAGGTACAGGGGGTTCAGGGGGCTCAGGAGGTGCAGAAAGTGCGGGGTACAGAGGGTTCAGGAGGTGCAGGATGTGCGGGGAGTGCGGGGTCCAGGGAGTACAGGGGCCTCAGGAGGTGCAGGATTCAGGGGGTTCAGGGGGTTCAGGAGGTGCAGGGGGCTCCGGAGGTGCAGGATACGGGGGTTTCAGGGGGTTCAAGGGGTTCAGGGGGTTCGGGGGCCTCAGGAGGTGCGGGATAAAGGGGTTTCAGGGAGTTCGGGGGGCTCAGGAGGTGCAGGATACAGGGGTTTAGGGGGTACAGGGAGTACAGGGGGTTCAGGGGGCTCAGGAGGTGCAGGATTCAGGGGGTTCAGAGCCCTCAGGAGGTGCGGGCAGCGCGGGCAGCCCCCGCACGCCGGCGCTGCCGAAAGCCGCTGCTGCCATCTGCCGACACCGCGCCGGCTCCGCGGGGCGCAGGGAGGGGATGGGGGGCACAGCCGGGACCCCCCAACATCCCCCGGCACCCCCGGGACACGGGACCCGCACCCCGGCCCCGCTGTGTCCCGCGGGTTCCGCCGCAGGGGCTGCGGACAGGAGGGGACAGGAGGGCACAGGAGGGCACAGGAGGGCACAGGGGCGTCTCCGCTCGGAGCCCCCCGGCTCGGGGACCCTCGGCCGAGCCCCCCGGCCCCGCTGTCCCGGCTGCCGCTGCCCCGCCGCGTCCCCGGGGGTCCCTCGGTCACCCCATGGGAAGGGACGAGAAGCCACGAGAGGGAGCCCGGGGCCCGCGCGTGGCCGCTGCGCTGGGGACAGCGGTGGCGCTGGTGGTGGCGCTGGCGGTGGCGCTGGCGGTGGCACTGGCGGTGGCGCTGCTGATGGCGTTTAACCCCTGCGTTCCTTTTGGCGGGGGGACAAGGGACAAGTCTGGGTGCAGAGCCCTCCCAGTGTCGCCCATTCCTGCGCGACGGGACCGTGCCCTTGCCAGGGTGGCAGTGCCACCTCCGCAGCCTCAGTCCCCAGGGTGGGACACACAGGGACGAGCTGCAGCCCCCAGGCATGGCCTGACCCCCCAGCAGGGCCCAAACTGGGGGAACTGGGGCAGAGCTCAGGGACAGGACTGTGCCCAAAGTGCCCCAAAACGCCGGCCAGGTGCCACACAGTGTCCCCAGGAGCCCCGAACTTGGCTGGCAGGGAGAGAGGAGTGGGACGTGCTGCAGGGTGGCACTGTGGGGACATGGGGACATGGGGACATGGGGACATGGGGATACAGGGGACACGGGGACATGGAGGACACGGGGGACATGGGAATATGGGGACACAGGGACATGGGACATGGGAGATATGGGGACATGGGGACACAGGGATACAGGGGACATGGGAACATGGGGGACACGGGGGACATGGGAATATGGGGATCTGGGGACACAGGGGCATGGGGACATGGGGATACAGGGATATGGGAACATGGGGGATACAGGGACATGAGGGACATTGGGGACATAGGGGATACGGGGACACAGGGTCATGGGGACAGAGGGACATGGGGACACAGAGGGACACAGAGATGGGGACACGGGGTACACAGAAACACGAGGACATGGGGGACATGGGGATACAGGGGACGCGGGGAAATGGGGACACAGGAACATGGAGATATGGGGGACACAAGGACACAGGGACACGGGGGACACGGGGACACGGGATGGAGCCGCTCCGTTATGAAATGTTATGAAACGTCAAGGTTTAGTGAGAGAGTGGCTCCTGATCCCGATGAGATGGGGCATCACAAAGGGCTTTGTATTCCAGGAAGCCTATTAGAGGTTTAAATTATCCAAATGGGCTTTTTCCCAAAGATCCTCATTATCTCGGTATTTGCTCTTAATCCCCGGCCCTTCCCGCAGCCCCTGCCCCACCCTGCCCCGCTCACCTTCCCCGTTTGTCACAGGGACAGGCCCTGGGGACAGGGACACGCTCTTGGGACAGCGAGGGCCCGTGGGGACAGGGACACGCTCCTGGGACAGCGAGGGCCCGTGGGCAGGGCTCTGTGGGGTATTTGGGGTACCCTGGTTGTGCTCACTGGTACAACGAGGGGCTGAGCCCCTCCTGCTTTGCCCCGTCCCGGTTTGTCCCAGTATCCCAGAAGGTTTTAGGGATGGTGTCTGTCGTGTGCTGAGCACCAAACCCCTCCTGGACACACCCGGGCTCCTTCAGCACCACCCAGGCCGTGTGGGCACCCTCGAGGACTCTCCCGTGGGCACTGGGGGGTGATGAGGGCGGTGAGGCTGATGCTGGACCCCAAATCCCCGAGCTCTGAGCGCCCTGAGCATCACCGAGCCCCATCAGCTTGGGGACCACAGCCAGGGCTGGGCCGAGGCCACCACGCACTGGCCTGGGCACACAGAGCTGTGTGGGAGCCCTGAACCCCGTCCTGGGGCACGGGGACACCGCGGGGTCCCCTTCCCGAGGTGTCCCCTCTCGGGGTGTCCCTTCCCGGGGTGTCCCTTCCCAGGATGTCCCTTCCCGGGGTGTCCCTTCCCGGGGTGTCCCTTCCCGGGGTGTCCCCTCTCGGGGTGTCCCTTCCCAGGGTGTCCCTTCCCACGGTGTCCCTTCCCAGGATGTCCCTTCCCGCCGTGTCCCCTCCCTGCAGCCCCACCCAGCTCTGCCGCAGCGAAGCCTCGGGGGCTTCACGGCTGCCATGGCAACGCAGGAAATTCCCACCGAAATCCCTGCAAGGAGGAGGAAAAGCCAAGAGGAAAAGCCCGGGCAGGCACGGGCAGCACCCCAGTGTGTCCCCAGCGGCTTTGGGACAATGGGGACAATGCCACGGTGGCACCTGTGGCTGTTTCAGCCTCTCCTGGCTGCGCCTCCGGGCCAGCAGGACCAGCCCTGGCACCCCCAGGGCACCACGAGCTGCTGCCCATCCCCGTGCAGGGGGGGCTGAGGGGGCTCCAGCCAGAAACCCACAAAATTTTGGGGTGGAGGGGGTGGGAGCCGGGCAGGATGAGCCGCCCCCCATGCCAGGGACCCCATAAATCCCTGGGGGTTGATGTCCCCTTCTGTGCCCCCCTCCTGGGCATTATCCTCCCTGTCCCTCCTGCAATCCCTTCCAGCTCGGGGATTATTTGGGTTTAGGGTCGGGTTGGAGTCGGAAATGGGATGTTTGCAAATCAGCCTGCGTCACTTGTGCCTCTGCCACTCATGCCCAGGGGGATTAAAATAGATATGAAGATTATCAGAGGGGGGCTGGCACCCCCACCTTGGGGGCCCCACTCTCCCCCAGCCAGCCCTGGCACTGCTGCCTTGGGGTGCTCAGCTCCAGCCCCCCAGGATGCCACAAACATCTCCCTTTCCCTCACCTTTCTGCTCACACCCCATCCCCAAATCTCCTTCTATGACAGGAGAGCAGAAATCACCATCGCAGCACCTCCCCTCCCCTGTTCCTGTGTTCCCAGCACAATCCCATTCCCAAAATGCTGCACTGGGCTGGATCCCAGTGCCCAAACCCCTGCCTGGAGCTCAGGGCTGGATCCCAGTGCACAAACCCCAAACCTGGAGCTCAGAGAGGGTTCCCAGTGCCCAAACCCCAAACCTGGAGCTCAGGGAGGGTTCCCAGTGCCCAAACCTGGAGCTCAGGGAGGGTTCCCAGGTTCGTGAGTGGGAATTTTTCATTCCTGTGCTGTGTCAGGTCCCTGTGCTCCTCAGGGCCTGGGCTGCTCCTGTTCTCCATCTCTCTTTGGTCCAGAGCTGCTCACTGGTGTTCCATAGCAGACCTCAGGGGTTTGGGTGCTGTGCCAGGACTGCTCCCTCTCTCCTGCCCTGGCTTTGAGGCCTGGAGGTGCCAGGAGGTGCCCAAAGCCCCTCAGCCTCACTGACCATGGCCTGGTTTGGGTTGGAAACTCACCCAGTGCCGCAACCAAAACCCGAGGGCTGGGAGGGTCAGCCACAGTTTTTTAATGCCCAGGAGATTTTGGGGTGAATGAACCCCGTGTTGGCTCCTTCCCCCCAGCTCCCCATGGTGGAGCAGCCACCCCAGCACGTCCCTGCTCCCCCATGGGGCCCTGGCTTTAATCCCTTGATGCATTTTTGTTGGTGTAATTCCAAGGAGAGTGGCTCCTGCTCCCATCTGCCCCTGCCATCTGCTGCCCAGGGCTCTGCAGAGGAGGGAGCTGCTCCTGGGAACCCAGCTGGGAGTGGCAGCTCCTCATGGGCAGCATCTGTCCCCACTGCAGCCCTTTCCCTGGCTCCCAAAGCCACTTTGCTCCTTGCTGGACTCACTGGGGATGCTTTGCTGCTCTCACCCGAGTTCTGGGGACAGCCAGCCCAAAATGTCCCTTTCTGGTCCAAAAATGTCCCTTTCTAGTCCCAAAAAGCCTGGCCTGGCACCTTCTGGGGCCAGTGGAGACAGCGTGTCCCAGTGCTCCCAGTGCCCTCCCAGTGCTCCCAGTGCCCTCCCGGTTCTCCCAGTGCTCCCAGTCCCCCAAGATTTCTCAGTGTTCCCAGTGCCCAAAGACCTTCCCAGTGCTCCCATTGCCTGAAGACTTCCCAGTGCTCCCAGTGCTCTGAGCCTTCCCATTCCCCAAGACCTTCCAGTTCTCACAGTGCTCCCAGTGCCTGAAAACCTCCCAGTGTTCCCAGTATTCCCAGTGCCCAAAAACCTCCCAGTGTCCCCACTGTTTCCAGTGCCTAAAAACCATCCAGTATTCCCAGTATTCCCAGTGCTCCCAGTGCTCCCAGTGGTGCCCCCTGTGCCGGTGCCCCCCCGCCCCTTGGCTCCCCCAGGCTGCGGGGAGGGGTCACAGACCCCGGGCATTGGGGGTTGGGGTCGTGGCAGCGCCGGGGGGACAAAACCGGGGACCCCTGAGTGGGGGGGGACACGCAGACCCCTCCTCGGGCTGCTGGAGCCATGGGGAGGGGGGGGGAACGGAGAGATTCTGTGGGGTCCCAGCCCCCCATAACTGGGGGGTCCTGGCTGCTCCTCCTGGGGGTCCGGTTTGCCCCGAGATCCGAAGGAATTTTTGGGGAATTTGGGGGTGCTGGGGTCTCTCCCTCCTCTGGATAGGGCAGCTCTCGGCACTGAAGCCTCCACCGCGCCCCGGGCACCCCTGGATGGTGGCAGCGGGTCAAGGTCACCACGGAGTCCCCAGGGTGGGTGCTGGACACGGTCCCTGTGAGCTGGTCCGGGCTGGGGACACAGAGCCCCGAGCAGGTCCCAGCCACCCCCAGCCCTTCCTGGGGCTCCAGAGCCCGCCGGAGGCACCAAATATTAACGGAGAGAGTGGAGGAGCTGAAAATAACCCAGCTCCGAGGGATCTGACCCAGATCCGGCCATCCCAAAGCTGGGCCGGACCCAGCACCGCAGGCACGACTCTGTCCCCTCCTCGGGGCCGCCTGATCCCACCTATATATCACCTATCTATTATGCAAATGAGCTCTAAGGGATAATTACGCAAACAGGAGGGGGCTGGCGCTGCCTGGAGCTCCCCGGGGCCGGCCCCGAGTGCTCAGAGCGGCCGGCGGGGATGGAGGCGGCAGCATCGGCGTCCGGCCGGGTGTCCGGGGGCTGCCAGCGAGCTCTGCCCCGTCCCTGTCCCCTCCTGTAGCGCACAGGGACCCCCCGAGCCCGGCCAGGCCCCTGTCCCCTGTCCCAGCGCGATGGGGAAGCAGAACAGCAAACTCCGCCCGGAGATGCTCCAGGACCTGCGGGAAAACACGGAGTTCTCCGACCTGGAGCTGCAGGGCTGGTACAAGGGGTTCCTGAAGGACTGTCCCTCGGGCATGCTGGACGTGGAGGAGTTCAAGAAGATCTACGCCAACTTCTTCCCCTACGGTGACGCCTCCAAGTTCGCCGAGCACGTTTTCCGCACCTTCGACACCAACGGCGACGGCACCATCGACTTCAGGGAGTTCATCATCGCCCTGAGCGTCACCTCCCGCGGCAAGCTCGAGCAGAAGCTCATGTGGGCCTTCAGCATGTACGACCTGGACGGCAACGGCTACATCAGCCGGGAGGAGATGCTGGAGATCGTGCAGGTACCGGCCGGGCTGTCCCGCCCTGCCCTGCCCTGCCCTGCCCCGCCGCGGCTCCCGGAGGGCGGCTGGGTTGGGGATTTCTCCCCGTGGAACGCCCCGGGCAGGGTTTTGCAGCGGCAGGGATGAAGCTGTTGCTGCCTTGCAGCTGTGGGTGCAGGGGTTGTTTTATCCTGGAGCATCCCGAGTCCTTCCCTGCCTGGGGATGTCCCTTTGTCACCTCATCCCGGGGCTCTCCCCTGCTCCCAGGGCGGGCACTTGTCCCCCTGCACGCCTGGTGGTGTTGGCAAACGGGCAGGAGAGGCTCTCCTTGCCCTAATCCCAACCTGGTGATTCTCAGGGGCATCCCAGTGGCCAAATCCTCCCTGCAGGAGCAGCTCCTGGGAGCTGAAGCCCTGATGCCATGGGAAGGGTGATAAACACCAGCCCCACGCCCAGGAAAACAAAGCCCAGAGCTTTTTCTCTGTCCCAGGTGGGCAAAGCCAGGACCCCACCCTGACCCCCTGTCCTTCCCCCAGGCCATCTACAAAATGGTCTCCTCTGTCATGAACATGCCTGAAGACGAATCCACCCCGGAGAAAAGGACGGACAAAATCTTCCGACAGATGGACACTAATAACGATGGTAAATGAGAGGAGCTGCAGGGGATTAGGGAAAGGTCTCATGGCTAAATCCAGGGCTATCAGGAGGAGCTGATTAAATGGCTCATGTCCGAGGGGCGCTGGGTGCTCCCCCCGGGTGGGGAGGGGCCCGTGGGCTGCTCTGGGTGGTCTCTGGTGCCGGGAGGTGCCTGAGCTGTGTCCCCTTCCCCACAGGGAAGCTCTCGCTGGAGGAGTTCATCAGAGGGGCCAAGAGCGACCCATCCATCGTGCGCCTGCTGCAGTGCGACCCCAGCGGGGCCATGCAGTTCTGAGCCCCCCAGAGCCCCCCCTGCCACCCCCCACCCTGCTGATGGTCACTGTCCCTCACCCAGTCCCTGCTGTGCCCCCGCAGCCCCTGTGGGATGGGAGATGGAGCCTGGCTGGTATTGGGGTGAGGGGGCCTGGGGGTCAGTCCCCATCCCTGGGGGTCAGTCCCCATCCCTGGGGGTCAGTCCCCATCCCTGGGGGTCCTGCGCTGGTTTCACTGGTGGGAAGGTGGAGGCAGGGTGTGCCCTGAGTGAGGACAGAGCCCCCAGCACCGGGGCTGGGAGCAGGGACAGCCCAGCCTGGTGGGACAGGTGTGGGGACAAAGCCCCCGTGGCTGGGGGTCCCCAGCACCCAGCCCCACATGGAGACAGCACCATGGGCAGGGCTGGTTCAGCCCCGTCCCCACAGGGTGGGCTGAGCTTCTGGGCTTTAATACCTGCAGAATAAAGTTTGTGTCAGTGCAGTCCGTGCTGGGAAAGGGGACACGGAGCCCCTGGGGAAAGTTCAGCCCTGCAGGCTCTGGATCCAGCCCAGTTCCATCCCTCCCTGCAGCCCCAGGCCACGGGATGGGCTCCTGTTCCAGGGGATGTGTCCACACATCCTGGGAGGCAGCTGAGTCCTGTCCTGGGGCTGTGCTGGTGCTGGAATGGGGCAGGAACAGCCAGGACACATCCACAGGGTCATTTATCCCTCAGAGCCGGGCAATTTCTCCACTGTCCAGTCTCAGCAAGGCCAGGCACTGCCCAGGGCCGGGGCTCTCCACAGGGGCTTCCTGCAGAGAGACCTGGAAGCCAGAGAGAAGGATGAGAGTGGGAGCAGAGGGGTGGAAGCCTTGGATCCACAGGTCACCCCTGGGCACAGCCAGGTCTGCCCCAGCTCTGCAGGGGAGGGGTTGGGGTGAGCTCATCAATCAGAAATCACCTTCAGCCCTGCAGGGGAGGGGTTGGGCCCATCAATCAGAAATCACCTTCAGCCCTGCAGGGGAGGGGTTGGGGTTGGGCCCATCAATAGAAATCACCTTCATCCGGAGCATCCCGCGGCAGCAGCAGCCCAGGCGCAGGAGCTCCAGGGTGAGCAGGAGGCAGCGGATGCTGAAGAAGATGCCCATGGCCTCCAGCAGGAGGGAGATGACCCAGAGGGACAGCGTGGAGCTCTGGGAGACAGGAGGAGCATCAGCCCCTGCTCATCCTCCCCACCCCGGGCACAGCCCCAGCCCCGGGGCACTCACGTAGACGCGGGTGGGGTCGAAGGGGCACTCGCGGGACACGGGGGCCAGGGTGGCAGTGCCGACGGAGCAGGGGCCCAGCAGCACCCGGCCCTGGGTGCCCAGGGTCAGCCCGATGGCCACGAGCAGCCCCAGCAGGCAGCAGAGGCAGCAGAGGCTGCTGCAGGCGCTCAGGGCCAGCAGAGCCCATTTCTGCAGGGGGGAAAGGAGAGGAGAGGCAGTGTGGGGACAGGGGGATGTCCCCTGCCCAAGAGGGACCCAGAGAGGGCTGTGGGGGCTGTTCAGGCTCCCTGGGTGATGGGAGAGGGGCTGGGGGTGCTTACCAGGGCAGCGGGGCCGAGGTACCGGGAGAGCAGCAGGGCACAGACTCCACAGGAGATGGTCTGTGGGGAAAAACGGGGGGGTCAGGCAGGAGCAGCCCCTGCCCCAGGGACACCGAAATCCTCTCCCTGCTGGGAATGTCCCTGGGAGCTCATCCAGAGGGGGCAGAGCTTCACCTCCCACAGCCTCACCCAGCAATGAGCCCCGGAGTGTTGGATCCCCCAGGAAAGGAGGGTTAAACTCCACAGGAAAGGAGGGCTGGATCCCCCAGGAAAGGAGGGTTGGGTCCCCCAGGAAAGGAGGGTTGGATTCCCCCAGGAAAGGAGGGTTGGATTCCCCCAGGAAAGGAGGGTTGGATTCCCCCAGGAAAGGAGGGTTGGATCCCTGAGGAAAGGAGGGTTGGATCCCTGAGGAAAGGAGGGTCGGATCCCTGAGGAAAGGAGGGTCGGATCCCTGAGGAAAGGAGGGTTGGATCCCCGAGGAAAGGAGGGCTGGATTCCTGAGGAAAGGAGGGTTGGATCCCCCAGGAAAGGAGGGTTGGATCCCTGAGGAAAGGAGGGTTGGATCCCTGAGGAAAGGAGGGTTGGATTCCCCCAGGAAAGGAGGGTTGGATCCCCCAGGAAAGGAGGGCTGGATCCCCAGGAAAGGAGGGTTAAACTCCCCAGGAAAGGAGGGCTGGATCCCCAGGAAAGGAGGGTTGGATCCCTGAGGAAAGGAGGGTTGGATTCCCCCAGGAAAGGTGGGTTGAACCTCCCAGGAAAGGTTTGTTTCGGGTGGGGAAGGGGGGACAGAGCAGCGTCCATCCTGCATCCCACCTCCCCACCCTCCATCCCTCCCCCAAGCCAGCCTCTCCCCACGTCCCCCCGTGTCCCCAGCCCCGTTCCCGGCCGTACCAGCAGCGCAGCGATGGCAGCGGCGCTGTTGGTGACCCCGTAGTGCAGGGAGGTGGCGTCGCGGGCGGTGAGCACGAAGCGCAGCACGGTGCCGTGCACCAGCGCCCCGCTGATGAAGATGAGGTGCCCGACGATGAGGAGGATGAGCCCCGTTTTCATCAGCACCGTTCGGTGGCTGCCGGGGTCGAGGTGGCCTGGGACAAAAGGAGAGGAGGGGGCGTGGGGTGGCCAGCCCCGAGCTGTCCCTGCCTGGCACGGGAATTTGGGGACAGCCCCAGAGGACGTGGCCCGCGCTGGCAGAGGGATGAGGTGATGTGGAAGCCACCGGTAGCCCAGGTATGCAGACCACTGGTCCAGCCAGCTCTCCTGGGACTGGAGCAAAGGTGTGGGGCCAGTGGCCATGGGGACAGGTCCCTGTGGGGCTGGGAAGAGCTGGGGCTGCTCAGGGTGAGGAGGAGGCTCTGGGAGAGCAGCTGGCCCCAAACGGCAGCGCCAGGGCTGGGTTCTGGCAGCCAGCACTCGGAGGAGTGGGGCTGTTCCCCCTCTGGAACCCACCCTCACAGAGCCACCACCACCAGGGCTCAGCCAGCTCCTCCCCTGAGCGATCTGAGCCTTCCTCTCCCTCCCTCCCTGCCTCAGTTTCCCCTGCAGAGGGCAGAGATGGAGCCCTCCTGTTGTGATCCCCACCCAGAGCCGGACTCACCCACTCGGCACATCCTCACCGGGCCGGGATCAGCCCCTCAGAGCCCTCCGGTGCCCTGCCCTGCCCTCAGCCCCCGGATCCATCGGGTCTGGCACGGGGCAGCACCGGGACACCGGGGCCACCCTCCTGCTGCTCCAATTCCTGTCAGACCAGCTCCCCGGGACAAAGGGATAACTCCACCTTTTCCTGCGTGTCCCACCCCTGCCCTCCCCTTGCTGCCGGGCCAGCAGCCGTGCCGTGACATGCCCTGCCATGCCGTGCCATGCCATGCTGTGCCATTTCACCATTCCACGCTTCCTCACCCCCTCCCCACGCCCCCAGCACCCCCAAAGCCATGGCAGCAGGCTGGGAGCAGCCAGGCAGGTCCCAGGCCACAGCTGAGGGTCTGGGAAGGGGCAGCCCTGGGGCTGGGACACTGCCAGGCCAGAGGGCAGCGGTGCCAGGGACTGCCCTGCAGGGCCAGGGCAAAGCAGAGGGGCCAGGGCCGTGGTGACTTGGCCAAAGGTGACTCAGAGGAGCTGCTTTGGTGGCCATTGCCCTCAGGGAGCTTCCAGGGAAATCCCAGGCACTGGGATGGGGACAGGGCCTTGCAGGGGGGGCTGTGGGAGGGCCCGTGGGGTCCAACAATTTAATTCCAGGGACAACTCTGGTTCCTGGGGCTGCTCTGGGGAAAGGCATTGTCCCCAACGTCCCACCTGAGCCACTGCTCTCAGCATCCTCAGCTCCCACACACCCACAAAGTGCTGGAAATTTGCCTTTTTCTCCCGTTCTTCCCCTCCTTTCACCTGTACCCAGCCCTGCTGCACAGGGAGAGGGAGAAGAGAGACCTCTCCTCTTCCCAAGCCTTTGGGAACAGCATTCACGTGGGCAAAGGCAGCTGGAAGATTTCCCTGCAGCTTTGGAAAGGACGAGCTGGATTCAGGTCGAACGACAACCAAGAGTCTTTATTCCAAGAGTCCCTTAGGGTGGTTGCAGACATACAGACACACGTACATATTTACACTCTTACACACCTCACAGAGTTTGAACCAATAAATTAAAACAAAAAGAGGGCGAGGGGGATTTCTGTGGTTTTTTTTTCCTTTCCTTTTTTTTTTTTTTTCCTTTTTCTGTCGTGTAAGAAACAACTCCCCAAGGCGAGGCTGGGGGAGCCAGCTGGAGGATGGCAAACAGAAGCCAACAGGGACACAACCCCGGCCCAGAAGCTGCAGAGTGACAGTGGGAGTGTGCTCAGCTCACACTCTGGCCTCGATGCATTCCAGCTGGACCATCTCGTCCAGCCGGCAGCCCTCGGCTTGGGCACAGTGGCTCAGGTGGGCACTTGGGCTCTGGGCACCTCTTGCTCGGGGGGTTTGGGGGCAGCCTGCTGCAGTCTGGCACTGGGGGGACTCGCACTCGTCCGAGGTAAGGTCGGGCACGTCGTCAGACTGGCTGTCCGAGCTCTCCAGGTCGCTGCGGATGCTCTCGGGCTGGGCCAGGGTGATGTCCCACGTCTGGCTGCCAATGCAGTCCTTCTGCTCACAGCTTTGGTGTTTGCACGTCTGCTCCTGCTTGTCGTCCTCCTCCTCCTCGTCCTCCTCCTCCTCCTCGTTCTCTGCCATCTGGGTGTGGACGTGCAGGGAGTCCTCTGTGCTGCTGCCGCTGGTCAGCTGGTAGTGACTGGGTTTGGCTTCAATGTCCACCTGGATCTCCATGTTATTGCACTCCCTGCAGGGACAACCACCACCCTCATGTCACTGGGCTCAACTGGGAGGATCACAGCCCCCCAAACACGAGCAAGATGCTGCTCATCACCCCACTGCTCGCTGCTCTCCTTGAATCCTCCAAACAGAGCCAAGATCATCCCAAAGCTGAGCCAAGGAAAGCTCCAGAGTCCCCTCAAAGTGCCAGAACAGCCCCTGAGGGTGCTGGGCTGCAGATCCCCTCCCCACACATGGAGGCTGCTCCCAAACTGTCCCAGCCCTCCTCCTGTGCTAGAAGGATGGATCCCTGTGCAAACACAGCCATCCCACCACCCACAGAGCCTGCATTTTTCCAGGACAGCCTCCACCAACGCTCTCCCCAGCACTCCAGGTCCTCCTACCTGTCCTGGGGGTTGTAGGAGCTGATGATGGAACCAGCCATGGCTCGGGTGCTGGCGTTGTCACTGATGGCCCCCAAACTGACCGAGTCTTTGGGGAAAATCTCCTTCTGCACATCTGCCTGGACTTCCAGCCTGCAGGAAAGAAGAGGGTTCCTCAGAAATGCTTTAGGGGCACCAACCCATCCCTGCTCCTCACGGGAAAGCAAGGAAAACAAAGCAGGAAACCCATCCCTGCTCCTCAAGGGAAAGCAAGAAACCCATCCCTGCTCCTTATGGGAAAGCAAGAAACCCATCCCTGCTCCTCAAGGGAAAGCAAGAAACCCATCCCTGCTCCTCAAGGGAAAGCAAGAAACCCATCCCTGCTCCTCAAGGGAAAGCAAGAAACCCATCCCTGCTCCTCAAGGGAAAGCAAGAAACCCATCCCTGCTCCTCAATCCCCGTGAGCTGGCCCAGGTCAGTGTGACAGCAGTTTAAGCCCAGTGGCTGCTCTCATTGAGGCTCATTTTTGGCTGCATTTAGGCAGATCCATTCTGTTTTCCATGACGAAGGTAGGGCCGTGTTTACATCCATGACTCACACGATTCCTGCTCAGAGCTGATTTCCATGGATCTCACAGAGCTGTGATTACATCCTGGCTGCCACATCAACACGTGGCTCTAATTACCCAGCAAACTGACTCACAGGCAAGTTAGGAGGAAAACTGTGGTGTAACCTCCTGACTTGGAGAGCCACGATCCTGCCTGCAGAACAGGAAGCATCAAAGCCTCCAGGCTGGGATAACAGGGCTGGAATAGCTTTAAGCAGGGCAGGCAGGAGCTCTGTGCTGCTCCAAATTCAGCTGAAGCATCAGCTCTGTGGTCTCAAGGAGCTCAGGAGGGATCTGTCCTCCTTGCAAGGACTAGAAACAGAATCATGGAATGGTTTGGGTTTGGAAAGGACTTTAAAGATCATCCAGTTCCAACCCCCACATACAGAACGCTTTCTCCTAGACCAGGCTGCTCAGAGCCCCATCCAACCTGGTCTTGGAATATCTCCAAGGATGGGGACCCCACAACCTCTCTGGGCAATCTGTGCCAGTGTCTCCCCACCCTGACTGGCTCTGGGTTCCAGATCATCCTAAGTGATCTCCTAGACCTGGTTATTCTACAGCAGACCCAGACAAAACACCACGACACAACCCCTAGATCAAAGCAGCTTCACTCACACTCCTGGAAAACTCCCCCAAACAAACCCACTATCCACTATCAAGCACACTTCCCACTGTCCCAGGGTGCTCCAAGCCCCATCCAAACTGTCCTTGGATACTTCCAGGGATCCAGGGGCAGCCCCAGCTTCTCTGGGCACCCTGTGCCAGAGCCTTGCCACCCTCACAGGGGAGAATTTCTTCCTCACATATGATCTAAATTTTTTCTCTTTCAGTTTAAAGCCATTCCCCCTTGTCCTATAACTATCTTCCTTTGCAATTAGTTGTTCTCCAACTTTTTACTAAGACTCTTTAAGCACTGGAAGGCCACATTGAGGCCAGCCCTTATGGACATGGCTGCTTTCAAACCTCCAGGAACTCTGCTGGGGGGGATTACTCCAGAAAGAAATGTGTCTAACCCTCCCATGGAATGGAAATAAATAAAGAAAAGAGGTTAAAAAAAATTACAACTTTCCATATCCAATGAAGAATTTATCCATGATTTTTAACCTACATTTATCATTTATCCAAAAATCATTTACCCACAATTTTTAAGCCGAGCCTGAGGGAGCTCTGTAGGCTCAGTGAAGTGAGCCAACACCCACACAGCCCTTGGGGAGCCCTCTGCTCTCCCCAGAGCCCAGTTACCTGCTGTACTTCCCCTTGCTCCCCGAGAGGACGCCCCCGCTCAGGGTGCCCCCGGACAGGGCAGCAAAGCTGGCGGTCTCGCTGTAGTTGCCCTGGATGACACTGAGCCCATCTGTGGGGCTGCCACTGGTGCTCAGCACACTGGTCAGCCCCTCAATGCTGCTCTCTCCAATGCTGGGGTTCTTCAGGGCTCTCCAGGCATCGGCCACTGCGGGGAAGGAGAGAACAGGGGGTTGGAATTGGCAGTGGGAGCGCTCGGCTGTGGTGTCTCAGATTTGGGAGACATCAGGACCTCAAAGCATTTGATTACAAGAGGCAACAACAAGAGCATTTTGCTTCACCCCCTTCCCATCACCAGTTATTACCTGTGATGGGTCCATCATCTTCATCAAACTCGATTTTCACCCCCTTTCCATTGGCTGTGCTGACCCCGCAGCCGCCACCCCGGCACAGCGAGATGGGCACGACCCCATAGACGTAGGCCAGCATGATGGGGACCCCAATTCCTGCAGAGGAGGATGAGCTGGGTTAAGAGGAGCTTAAAGATGTGTTGGGCAGACAGAAAAGATTTTTTAGAGACTCTCTCAGTCGTGTTTTTGTTGCTTTTAAAGGCTCCAATTCACAATTATGCAGACAGAGAGTGGAGGAGCACTGTGGGCTGAGTGGGGGAACCCCAAGAGCATCAGCCACCAAAGCATGACAGGAGACAGCTCTGTGTGACAAAGGGACTCCAAGATGGGCTGTGGTGGTGCAGACAAGCCCTGTGCTGGCTGTGGGCCAGCCTGAGCACACCAGGATGAGAGACAGCACTGTGCCCAAAGCCACAGAGAGCCACACTCTGCACATTGTCCTTTGGCCACCCCCATGGCACAGGGCTGGGCCACCCACTTGTCTCAGTGGCTCCTGGGCCAGCAGAAGGGACAGGGCTGAGCCCACTTACCAACACTGACAGCAGCAATGACTGGGGAGGCAATGACAGACAGGGTGACCCCACCAGTGATGGCCAAGTTCCTCTTGTGCTTGGAGGTTTTCTTCCCCTCATACCTGCTGTGGATCTGGTGGAAGAAAATGCACCAGGTGAGAACAGCAGAGTCCCAGA